CATGAATGAGAACTTCTCTCGCATTTGTGATAATTAGTATCTTTGTCATGTATTTATATCACCCTCTTTTATAACCCCGACAAAAGAAATATGGTCCTATCACGCGAATGAGAACTTCTATCGTCTTTGTGATTATAATTATTGTTGTCATATATTTGTATCACCCTCATTTACATAAGAAAATAAATAATAACAAAAGAAATATGGTCCTATCACGCGAATGAGGACTTTTATCGTTTTTTGTGATTATTATTATTGTTGTCATATATTTATATCACCCTCATTTACATAAAACCCGACAAAAGAAATATTGTCCTACCACGCGAATGAGAACTTCTATCGTCTTTTGTGGTTATTATTATTCTTGTCATAAACTCCAACCAAAAACTACTGTCCTATCACATGAATGAGAACTTCTCTTGCTTTTGTGATAATTATTATCTTTGTCATAATTATATTACCCTTATTTACATAACCCCGACAAAAGAAATATGGTCCTATCACGCGAATGACAACTTCTATCGTCTTTGTGACGTATTATTATTCTTGTCATAAACTCCAACCAAAAACTACTGTCCTATCACGTGAATGAGAACTTCTCTTGCTTTTGTTATAATTATTATCTTTGTCATAATTATATTACCCTCATTTACATAACCCCGACATAAGTCCTATCACGCGAATGAGAACTTCTATCGTCTTTATGATTATTATTATTCTTGTCATAAACTCCAACCAAAAACTACTGTCCTATTACGTGAATGAGAAGTTCTCTCGTTATTGTGATTACTATTATATTTGTCATATTTATATCATCCTCATCTACATAACCCTAAAAAAAAAATATGGTCCTATATCACTCGAATGAGAACTTCTAGAGAGAGAGAGAGAGACAAAGTTGGAGCGAAAGAAAGAGAGAGAGAGGTGTGTGGATAAAGAAAGAGAGACAGTCATCAGACAGACGGTCACAGACCGACAGAGAGAGAGACTAACAAGTGATATGGATATAGAAATATGTAGAAAGGGATAAACGAGGTGATGCGATGAGAGGGAGAGAGAGAGAGAGAGAGAGACAGATTATATACAATATACATCAAAAGAGAAATAAATAGAGAAAGGGTAGAATGGTATGGGGTACTGAGAAATAAAGAGTGAGGGAAAGAAAATGGGAGAAATAAAGATAGCGAGAGAGAAGAGAGAGAGAGAAAGGAGAGAAGGGATAGAGAGGGATAGAGAGGGATACAAAAGAGAGGGGGGAGATGAGAGGGATATAGAAGCGACAGAGAGAGAGAGAGAGAGAGAGGGTGAGCGAGAATATCAAGTGAGAGTGTTATAACACGGACCTGGTCAATGCAGTTGGTGCATGGTTATGAGACGGAGGCGAAGAATATAATTCAATTATACGGAAAGAGAGAGGTTAGCCCAAACACGTGTAGCAATTACTGACCTCTACCAGAGGTCATTAGGCTAAATAAACAAGCGTACCGTACCCGTAAACTCACAAAGGGATGATCTCAAAATAAGAATGTGCAGTATACACATATTCGACTGTTCGGGAAAACGTCGTCAACCTTACTATTGATTTATCTTCGTTTGTAAGATTAAACGTATCTTCTTTATTTTTAATAAAGAAATGCAAAATAAATAATGTTACGTTCTGTATATAAATGATTACCCAAACTGTCCCCGTACAACGACTTTGGGGAGTATTTTGAGATTATCCCTAAAAAAATGTGCTCGGAAATTCTTCTGGCCAATCCGGCCCTACACAAATAGACTAATACACGTATACACGTAACATGTACTATACGTAGGCCTAACACACATGCACAGGGATCAATGCCAGATCTTTGCAGTTCATCACGGCCAATTGACTTGACCAAAATACAGGCAATATGTGCGTTCGTTCACAGAGCTGGCGAACAACAATATTATCAAAGTCGAGCAATAACAAATGCATTTCAAAGTTGAAAACACAGAAACGATTAAGAGAGGGAAATGGAAAAATGAGTTGAAGAGAACAACACAGGATATTCCGGTCCGCGCAGGAAATTCATAGATTAACGTACGTAAGTACAGTAAAGATGGTGACGGTCCGATCGATTATAAAATTATATATTGCGATTACAGTGTACAGACAAGTATATTTTTCTTCAAATTTAGGAGACAGTATAAAAATCTTACACTAAGGCAACTCGACTTTAAAATAATTATCTTCATGATTATATATATTGTTTAAGTCTGGTAATATGATTGGGTGTCAAAACATGTTAATTATTACACTTTGACAATAGTGCTATGTATGTGTTATGCTGTTCAGATGACATATAAATTTTCGAACTGAGAGGGAGCTATACCAAATTTACCGGGAGTACCGGTAAATTTTTTTATTTTTTAAAATTTTAATAACTCCAAATCAAAAGCTTTTTAGAGCCCAATTTTTTTAGAGTTGGGTGTTCTAACACTATATTTCACAATAGTAATGCAAATTTTAAATTTCATGATCCAATCCTGATGAAATATTCCCAAAACTTTGTAATACCTTTAACTAACCCTGCAAAATAGCAGGGCTAACCTCGCAATTGTGGTGCTAACTCCTGCTAACTCCGCAATTGTGCGGTGCCAAGCAAATGAATGAGAACAGAAACGAAAAATAGTCCTACGCAGTGAAGCGAATTAATGGATTTCCATGGCCATGGCTAGTACGGGGCTAAGGAATTGCAGTGAGAAAAGCCAAAAAAGTTAGTCCGGGTTAAGGATAGTACGGGGCTAAGCAAAACAAGTGTGAAAAGAGTATAAGATTTGCACGATGAGAACGTGGACTGCTCGAGTGACATCCTTTACAGGCAATGTGACGTCACTGCCAGTGCCTTAAAAGAATGTCACATGTTGCAGTCCACGTTCTCATCGTGCAAATCTAAAAGTCCCTAGTATTTCATTGATAGGGGATGATGAACAACCAACAAATAGTTTGCTCTGGTCGTTTAGAATTCCCTGCATGGTAATATACGAATCTGTCTACATGTATGTTCACACCATGAATGACAAATGTTACTTAAATTATAAAGGAATCTTTCTGTAAACTCTAACAGATGTTAAATGATAGAACATTTCTATGATTGGTTAATTTCAAGTTCTCCTGTGAAAATACAAGTTGTTCACTAGAAAAGGTACACATTCATTTAAATTCTCAGTTTTGGTGTGCTTTGTGACTTTTACAGAGGTGAAAACAAATGAGGATTTCTATCCCCCTCTCAATCAATCTACATGTATTAATGAATCGAAATTTTACTCTTCTTTTCTCCTTTCTCTTTCTTTCTTTCCCCCTAACTGTAAGATATCACGGAGACCTACAATCCTACATGTACATTGTACAAATATTTTATCCTGCTCTGCCTTATTTTTTTAAGTAGAAAATTACATATATCTTCTTTCCAATCATCATTTTTCTAAATCAAACTGTTAAAGAGAAGGTTGAGTTCTGGAAATAGGTGAAAAATAACTTGTGAGCGTTATCATTGTTATTAATGCAAATGTGGAAGAACATCAGATCAAAAAATTTTCATGAAAAGCAGGCTCTTCAAATGCTTTCATATTCTAAATATGGCAAACATGTAGGCCTACTATACGTACGTACATGTACAGTATATACAGTTGTAAACAACATCAAAATTGGGACAGACTTTTATGCCCCATGTTCTTGTAATCCCATATACATCTTTCTGTGTACAGTGCTTGTAACTTTACCAATACTGGGCCAAATTTCATTCGTAGATGTCTCATATTTTTGATCGGCGCGTTGACGATGCGAAAAACAGATTCCACAATGTTTTTCTTGATGCATTTTACATTGACTTTGTACAGAGACGTTATGAGCAATAAATCCTCGGGGAAGACGGACAACCAATAAAAGTAGACGGTGAACTAATAGGGTTATTTTTCTTAACCGGAATCCGTTTTTTCGCATCGCCAGTGGGCGGTTTCGGAAACCGAAACCTGCAGAGCGCCGATGAAAAAAAACATCCGCGAAAATGCAGACTGTCCTTATTTTTTAGGTAGAATTTTGACTTTTGGATTCCGCTTAAGAAAAGAACCCTAGTTCATTGTCTACTTTTATGGGATGTCCGTCTTCCAGAGGATTTATCACTCTTAATGTGAAAGTCTCTGTACAAAGTCAATGTAAAATGCATCAAGCAAATCATTGTGGAATCCGTTTTTTGCATTGCCCACGCGCGGATGAGAAATATAAAACGTCTGCAAAAATGCGGAGGATCCTTATTTTTGAGGACGCCACAGTCTGCATTTTATACGAAGACGATCCTCGTTTATACAGACAATTCTTATTCTCGGACCAGCGCCCCTACTGCATTTTGAGGCACTTCTTGATTATTATGAAACGCAATTTTGTTAGGGCTTCAATTATTACACCATATCACAGACACACTGATAACATTAACACATACATGTAGGACCGCGCATCTCAGATTTAACATTGTTAAACGATGCAGTGGCCGAATACCGGGCGCATTAGTTACCCTATGGTTAGTTACCCTATAGTCTAGATCCTAATTTATTTTAGTGCATAGATCTAGATCTATGTGACTAGTCTAATCTAGATCTAGACCAAGAGTCTACATCAAACAAAATAAATAAAACGAGCAGTGGATCACTTCATAATTATAAGACGTAAGACTAGTAAGAGTAGATTCAAGGATCATTTTGGGGGCCCTTTTTTCCAGATCAATTATCCAGATTCAGGCCCAGATTCAATTTCAATGTACTACATGTAAGAAACAAATCTCTAGCTCTCAGGCAAAATGCAATGCAGCTAGGCTGAGCTAGCACTAACTTTATAGCAGTGTACTATTTTCAAGCTGAAGGAAGATAGACGCAGCAGCCGTGCTCATGGTAGCGCTATAGTGCCCCGCTTGTTTCCTGTGTCAAACTCCTTCACATCACGGCCGCTGCCGCACCACACCGTATATGCCATAAAGTCTCACCTGAGAAATATTCATGTTGATCTTGGTGGTCCGAATTCGGAAAAGATCTCGCTAAAGAACTCGTCACAGACGCAATTACAGTCACCAAGACCGCCAAGTAATCCATCTTCTTGATTATCACAATCATTACTTCAATGTGATTGAAGGTAAATGATCCATTTAGCGAAATTCCAATCAATTTCACTGCATTTCCAACCCGGAAATGTGTCTGCAATTTATCTCTCCAACTCCATGTTGTTTACTCCATGACAGGAGATCCGTGCAATTTCCAGTTACAACCTAATTTCAAGGGTTTATCGCTGCGTCTGTACGGAAATGCCTGTTTTGATAACGTGACTCATACGACTTGCAACATCAACTCTTGCGCAGCTTTGCGGAACGTAGGTTGAGATGCACTGAGAGGTAAAGTGAGGTCACTGCTCTGCCTACCTACCTACCTACCAGCCCCCCCCCCCCCACCCCCTTCCCCCGATTTTTGTTGTTGTTGATGTTTATTTTTGTTGTATGGTTGTTGGTCTGGAGGGAGCTGGGCGTCATTTTGTAACAAAGTATAGCATTGAAAAATAAAAAAGAGCCCCTTATAAGTGAACGCCCATAATACTGCCCCATTGATTGCCAGTTAAAGGTATTATGTCCCTTTTGCAGCCCCAAAAAATGAAAAGGGTAAATTCCAACGGCATTTGAAAGATAATACTAATTTAGAACTTCCCTAAAAAAGGGGGACTTGAAAATTTCTTTAAGTGGGAAAATACCAACTATTAGTTGTCGAATCGACTTAGGAGCTATAGAGCCAGTAAGTAATAGTCTGATTTTCAGACCACTGTACCGAATGGTCGTACATGTACATTTTATGCTGCGCAAAGATTCAATCAGTTTAATTTTGGCCATTACACTGTACAAGAAGTGGGTTATTGACGTAGACAAATACTCATGTACCCTTACAGCTCATTTTATGTATGTTATTACCAAAGAAGAAACAGGTTTCCTTGCATAATTTGAATATTATTAGGACAGTGCTAACGTGTACATCATGTACTGTAGATCTACATGAAATATTTTTAATTCCTGCAAAGTTCTACAGAATTTGATGTTGGTTGCAAAAGGGACATAGTATCTTTAAAGCTAATCTTGAGCTGGTATATGGAAATCGTATTTTGAAAGAAAATTGCCATGGCTTATTCTGGATTGTTTATCCTGCAGCAGATTGGCTGTTTGAGCCATTGAAATAAAAACCACAACTCCCACTTGCACACTACCCAGGGGCGTACGCAGGGGGGGGGGGTTGGGGGTTCAACCCCCCCCCTTTGGTATTTTTATGTATGTAAACCCCCCTAAAAAAACCTAAACCCCCCCCCCCCTTGGATTTTTTTTTTTTAATATACTTCTTTTTTTTTTATACTCACGGCTAACCTAAATAAGGTGACCTTACCCCCCCCCCCCCCCCCAACGAAGAAAAATGTCAAATTTTGAAATTTCGAGACCAAAAAAAAAAAAAAGTGTCCGCTTATCTTCTTTGGTAATAACAAACATGAAAAGAGTTGTAAAGGGTACATGAGCATTTGGGTACATGAGCATTTGTCTACATCAATAACCCACTTCTTGTGATGGCCAAGATTAGTCTGATTGAATCTTTGCGCAGCATAAAACGTATGACCATTCGGTACAATTGTCTGAAAATCAAGACTATTACTTTTGGGCTCTATACTATAGCCCTAAAGTCTATTTGACAACTAATAGTCGTTATTTTCCCACTTGAAGACATTTTCAAGCCCAACCTTTTTTAGGGAAGTTCTAAATTAGTATTATTTTTCAAATGCAGTTGAATTTAACTTTTTCATTTTTGGGCCTGCAAATGGGACATAGTACCTTTAAAGTGGACGAACGCTCGATCCCGCCTCACGATATGAAATTAATTCCCCTCCTAACATGAAAATGTGCCACCTTTATCTGGATTTCATGATGTACACTTCAGTGCCTCGACCCCCCCCCCCCCTCTCCACCTCCCCCTCTCTCTCTCTCTCTCTCTCTCTCTCTCTCTCTCTCTCTCTCTCTTTCTCTCTCTATCTTTCTATATATCACTTTGTGTGTGGGTGGCCGTGTGTGAATTGTTCTCTTTTAATTATTATATTTTCATCCTGTTGTTGTTGTTGTTTCGTGAGATTCGTTTACTTAAGGTGCTTGTCTTGACCGGTTGGTGTCGTAATATCCTATAAACAAACTAAAACTGATAGTCTTTGGTTGAAATATACCATAGCATCTCTTTACAAAATGTAATGAGTTTATAATAGTCCATGTACCATCACCCCCCCCCCCCCCCCACGATTATCAGAACACTCCACTTCAATCATGAAGGGCCTCTTAATTGAGCCATCAGGGGTGGATCTAGCTTTTTGCCATGGAGGGGGTTCACCCAGTGGCGGATCCAGGATTTTCCAAAAATCGCGCCGTTTTACTGTTTTACTCTTTTTTTTCTTTCTTTTCTTCCCCCCCCCCCCCTTTTTCCTTTTCACTTGGCCGCTCAAGGGGGTGTTAAACCGCCGACCCCCCCCCCCCCGATCCCCTGGCCTCAAGACTGACTATACAGTGGAACAGTCAGCAGGTAGGCCGATAAACCTATGAATAGGAGCATCAAAGATGGACAATTTTTTTACCAAAGAAGGACATTTTAACTTTTGAACATTATTTCTGCGTAACTGGGCAGAGGGGGAGGGGCAATAACCAGCAGATCGAAAAAGACCAATATGATTGTTTTATGCAATTGCTTGGCTAGGTATAGCCATGCGACCTCACATTAAGCATAAACATTCGAGCAACATAGTGGACGCACAAAAAGGGTTTTATAATTATGTTAAAAGTGCATATTTATCTCGATTTTGTTTCAAAAGTTGGAGAACTAAGTGAATTTACCGGGAGCACCGGTAAGTTTTAATTATTGAAATGTCTCGAAAGCAGAAGTGTTTTAGAGGCTCAATTTTCTATTGCTTATAATACATCCACAGAGGCCTTCAAATATATCAACATTTCAAAGAATTACTATCCATCCAATTTTTTTAATTTCCCCAAAACTTTGCATCACCTTAAAACAATGACCAATAGCAAATACACCTAGTAAAAGTATGACCAGGGGCGTCGCCAAAGGGGGGGTGTGGGGGGGTGTGACACCCCCCACCTGTCAGGATTTTGTCGGTAAAATTGCGCTGCCGTCGGGAAAAAGAGAAAAGGGGGAGGGAAAAAAAGAGGGAAAAAAGAGAGGGGAAAAAAAGGGAGGGAAAAAAAGAGAGGGAAAAAAAAGAGAGGGAAAAAAGAGAGGGAAAGGGAAAGAAAAAAAAAAGAAAAGGAAAAGAAAAGAAAAAAAGAAAAGGAAAAGAAAAGAAAGAAAGGAAAAGAAAGGAAAGAAAGGAAAAGAAAGGAAAGAAAAGAGAAGAAAGAAAGAGAAAAAAGAAAAAGAGGGAGGAGAGGAAAGAAAGGAAAAGAAAGAAAAGAAAGAAAAGGAAAAAGAAGAAAAAAGAGTGAAAGGGAAACAAAAAAAACGGGGGATGAAAGAGAGGAGAGAGAGGGGAGATAAGAGTCTGAGAGAGGAGGAGTGGGAGTAAAAGAGAGAAGGGGTTGTTGGGTTGAGTCGTCTCGTCGAGGGAGCAAGAAAGACACGGGTAAATATGTTGCTGTGTCGGGTCAGCTTTGTCGGTATTCTTGCTCGATCCTCGTGTACTATATCAATGCAGAAGTTTGAAGTCGGTGAGATGTATATTGTCGGTCGGCCGACAAGTTTTTTTTCCCTACGAACTGTGACTTCTTATCCGCTGTGACGATTTCGAGAGTGACTACAACTACAATACTTGTATTTTCTCGAAGTTTCACTTTCCTATAAGTTCAGCTAAAGAAATCAGAGGTTTAAAATTTTCGGGGAAACTAAATTCAAACAAGGTTTAAGAGTCAACAACGGTACGACGAATCGTCTTCCTTTCTTTATATTTTGATGAAACGCCAAAAATTCCGCGCTTAGCGCGGAAGGGGAATACTTCATTCAGACAAGTCGAGAACGGTACAACGAATCGTCTTCCTTCTCTAATAATTTAAGGAAACGTCAAGGCTTTCGCGCTTCGCGCGAGAGGGGGAAACTGAATTCAGATGAATAGGGCTTAATAAGATTCGAAAACGGTACGAGGAATCGTCTTCCTTTCTATATATTGTGATGAAACGCCAAAAATTCCGCGCTTCGCGCGGAAGGGGAAAACTTCATTTAGACGAGTCGAGAACGGTACAACGAATCGTCTTCTTTCTCTAATAATTTAAGGAAACGTCAAAGCGAGAGGGAGAAACTGAATTCAGACAAAATTATTAGGGCTTATTTAGAGTCGAAAACGGTACAACGTATCGTGTTTTTTCTCTAATAATTTGAGGAAACGTCAAAGTTTTCGCGCTTTGTGCGTGAGGGGGAAACTGAATTGAGATGAATAGGGCTTATTTAGAGTAAAAAACGGTACAACGAACCGTGTTCTTTCTCTAATAATTTGAGGAAACGATAAAGCTTTCGCGCTTTGCGCGAGAGGGGGGAAACTGAATTCAGATGAATAGGGCTTAAATTGAGTCGAAAACGGTACAATGAATCGTCTTCCTTTCTCTATATTTTGATGAAACGCCAAAAATTCCGCGCTTAGCGCGGAAGGGGAATACTTCATTCAGACAAGTCGAGAACGGTACAACGAATCGTCTTCCTTCTCTAATAATTTAAGGAAACGTCAAAGCTTCCGCGCTTCGCGCGAGAGGGGGAAACTGAATTCAGATGAATAGGCCATATAAAGAGTCGAAAACGGTATGACGAATCGTCTTCTTTCTCTAATAATTTAATGAAACGTTTAAACTTCCGCGCTTCGCGCGGGAGGGGGAAGCTTCATTCAGATAAGGATTAAGAGTCGAGAACAGTACACCGAAACGTCTGCTTTTTCTCATAATTTAATGAAACGTCAAAGCTTCCGCGCTTTGCACGGGAGGGGGGGGGGGGGGACTGAATTCAGAAAAGGATAAACAGTCGAGAACGGTAGAGCAAATCGTCTTCTTTTTTTATAATAATTCAATGAAACGCCAAAGCTTTCGCGCGGGAGGGGGGGGGGAACTTCATTTAGCCAAGGATTATCAGTCGAAAACGGTACAATTAATCGTCTTCTTTTCCTAATAATTTAAGGAAACGTCTAAGCTTACGCGCTTCGCGCGGGAGGCCCATCACCCACATCCCCTTAATGAGCGCGCTTTTAAGTGATTCTCTTGCTAACTACCGCCCTCCCTAAAATAAGATCCTAGCTCCGCGCCTGCATTAAAATATATAGCTATGATGCTGACTAAATTGAAGAAATAATTCGTATATTTATGTCGTCGAGGAAAATGACCATTTTGCGCATATGCAAGTACAAGAGATAGTCCATAGGAAAAACAATTTAGCCTTCGGCCCAAGGTTTATAGGGTTGAATTTTTCGATATTGGACATTTAATTTTGTCGGTAATTGGTGGCTAGTTTTGTCGGTAATCGTAAGCCTCTACCCCCCCCCCCCCCCACTGAAAAAGGTCTAGCGACGCCCCTGAGTATGACCAGCCCCCCCCCCGGCCCCCTCCCACGATTCCAATACCCCGCTTCCACCACCACCGACCCCGCCCCAATATTATTGATAGCTGCACCCATTCTACGTCAACGGGTAAGGGGGGGGGGGGGGGTAATGTTCGGCCCTTAAAAGCAAAGAATAGAGGGCGACATGCCATATATCCACATACAAACTATTTTCACTCATGTCGTCAGACCAAAATTAATATGAACATAAAAGACAGTAAGACACACTTTATGTTTCAGGACTATGCAGTGATGTACGAGACAGAAAATAATTGTTTATTTGTGAGGGTAGGCGTATAGGCCTACATTCAGGGCCAGGTAAGTTAATAATTGCTATATATTGTCACGAAAAAAACATCTGATCGCGAAAAGAAAAGGGCGATAGCCGTATAATATATTATAATTACGATATGCACCTTTTATCTGGCATCTGTATTGATGCCTTATGGCCTTTGGCCGCGCCGTCCTCTACCCCCCCCCCCCCCTCACGTCCATAATTGAAAAGTGAGCAAAAAAAATAAGAAAAAGCCATCAATAATTTGGCCAGTAATATAATTTCGGGTATAAATTCTTCTAAGAATATTTACGTTTCTTTGGCTTGAGTCCGTCTTACCGGAGGAGACCGTTAAAGTGACTGTAGTGACAATAGGCTCCAAGGCGGACCCCCCCCCCCCACCCACTCCCGAGCCCTGTCTATAACCCCATGAATAGTGCATATGACCGTGGACGATCGCTAAATAGGGTAAAGTTTAGGGTAAGGGGTAAGTTTGGAATTAGGTTGAGTGTATTTAAGCTGAATTTGACTGAAAGCGAAAGTTGTCTTCAGATGAAACTAATATCATTATAAAATGGTGAAGGGTACTACTACTTGACTATAAAGTTCTTCTAAAACTTGTTAGGTCCTGGAACCTCGATCTGTATAGGGCATTAACACCCCCCCCCCCCCCCACTCAGGGGTCGGAATGACCGCATGCGTGTTGCCAAAATGTCCGGTAAAGGGGTACTTTTCGTGCAACAAAGTCCGCCCGAGAATTTAAAAAAAAAGGGTGTATTTGACTTTTTACCCGAAGATTTCTTTAAAAAGGGGGTGTTTTTCCTTTTTTCTCTCATCTCTTTGGACTTCTGAGGAGTTATTCCGAATTTAGGGGGTTACATGCATTTTTCCTGATTTAGGGGGGTCTCCAAGGCAGGAAAAGCCCGCGAAAGGGGGGTTCAGAGATGTTGGCAGTCCTCAGATAGGGGGTGCTTTCAAAAAGAGGGAACGAGCATATGTGTACCCTAAATAATGTGTGGACCCCACCCCCCATACAAAATGACATATCAGATCATTCTGGTAGCTATAGCTTAAAAGTCGTTCCTGCACTAAAAATTTCGTTATCACAATAGTTTGTTTATTGACAACGCTAAAATGCTCTGTGTATCGAAATATTTGGATACTTGAGTTATCACTTCTTCATTCTGTGTACATTTTGTAAAGCAAAACAGCTGTGCGATTACAATATTTTGTGACTTAAAAAATCCATTTTACGATGGATCAACCTGCAGATGTAGCTTGCCGGTGGAGGATGTTCAAGGAGATGGGAGATGGATGAGTTTGGTAATTATTATTAAAATTTGTTGATGATGTCCTGATCTAATTCAAGCTCGAACATCGATGTCGACAGCAAGCAAAATGTGAAGTGCTGAGTGAATGAACGAGCGTACGTGTGTGCATGTACTGTATCGCATACAGAGTACATGTAGCAATCGTGTGAGAGCGAGTGGAACTGGAACTTGGAAGGCGTCGGCCCAGCGGTGTGTGACGCGACGTGAGCTTGTCCGTGGCCCTCCCCTGGATCTGGACTGGGGTTGGGCTCCTCATGGAAATGTTTGCAGAGCTAGGGTTGCTGGAGGCGCGGCGGGGGGTTGGTGGCCTGGAAGATGTTCTACTGTAGATCTAAAAGAGAGCAAGCATGTTCATGATGTTGACTTACGCGCTCTTAAAACTAGTTTAATGACGTACTGGCCCTGGGACTGGGTGTAAAACTGTAAACCCCACGTGACTTGCAATTGCACTTTAGTTCAATCGTGAATCTTGAATTGTTTTTGTTAGATGCAGCCTACCGGTGCCGAAATTCTTTTGAATTCACTGTGTTAATTAATGCCAATGCATGACGTGTTGATCCTATCAGTATCAGTAATCAGTATCAACCAAGGATAAGGAAAAAATAGCATCGCAAATTGAATGATGAGAATTGATTGGGTGTAGCATTGTTTGTAGGGCAAAAGGTCCAGAGATCGAGCGTCACTGTTGCAGAGATGCCAACCCTATAGGATGGCTGTCAGTAACGTTTACAACATTTAGCGCTCGAGTGTTATTTGTCCTATGAAAATAAATATGCTTTTGCAAACAAGCTTGTCTAAAACTAAAAGTGTATCTGAAGTACACTAATTTCTCCATGCAATAGCTACCCATTAAATTGGCAACACCATAATTTTACATGGTGGTCTCCTGCGTTCCAAATTACCTCTCTAATTTATTGAAAATATTTCATATTTCTTATGTTATTGTATGCTTCGTACATGTTTTTCGAATGATATAATTGTACATGATTTTTCATATTACTTTTGTAAACATTGTATTCATTGTATTTGTTATTGTTCAAAATTTTGTACTTTGACTTTGAATTTGTATATTTTTGAACGCAGAAATAAAATCAATCAAACAAACAAACAAACATCACTCTGGATCTAATAGCCACATGGACTCTGTGATAATATTTTTATGATATTGATATCACCGAGCCTTAACTGGCTCCCATAGATGTGTGCGGAGAGGCAGGTAAACAAACCCTAAAATGTGTCCAAGATCACACCTTCCCACACACACCCGATGAATATTGGACAGTGGCCTTAATGAATGTTATGCTGTTCCTACTACTAAATCCTAATGATCCCTAGCTATTCAAAATCGGAGGTTAAAATAACAAAATATTAGCAAATATTTTACCAGAGAGATACAGCTTAGCTTAAATTCCACATGTACCGTGTGACTTCCGCTCTGCATTACTAAGATGTTGACCTCTGCCTTGTGTCGGAGGCACTTCCGTATTTCCGCTGCTTCCGTACAATGTGCTTTATATATTGTGCTATACTACAGCACACTTGCTCTAATTACAGGATCGAGCATGGGACCGAGTGCAAGCCAATTTTTTTTAAAGGATGAAATGATAATTGTTATGAATACTTTTTCTTCTCTGGTGCATGATTTGGGAACTGTTTGCTGGTGACCTCTCCTAGCCAGCACATAGTGCAGTTGGAGAAATGAAGGATTTTTTTTTTTTTGTCATGATAAAGAGTCAAGTTTTATCAAGATTTAAAAAAAATATATAGTCCCCCCCCAAAAAAAAAACAAAAAAACAACAACAACAACAAACAAACAAACAATACATCAATCAATGAATAAATAAATAATAAATGAAATGAAATGGAAAACATATAGAATTATGTAAAAAAACAATAATAATATTTGTGATGACTACATTTCTTTCTCCTCTGTAGCATGAGCACTATGTTTACCTCACAAAAGAGGGGGAACCGGAGGTCCTGTTTGTCGGTGATTCTCTCATCCAGCATCTAGAGCAGTCTGAGGTCTGGAAGAACATGTTCATCGGTTACCATTGTCTGAACTTTGGCCTCGGTGGGGACCAGACCCAACACGTGCTATGGCGGCTTCAGAACGGCGAACTCGAGAATATACAACCAAAGGTATGTTCTGCTTTATAATGACTGCGGCTCATTGTACAGTCTGATTGCAATCGGTCTAAAAAAAAATAAAAAAGGAATGATGATCATTACAAAAACTGCAAATGAAAGTCTTTTTTAATCAGGTTCATAATGATTGTATATGAATGCCGAATGATTTAAGCTGTACATTGCAGCTGCAGTCAAAGGAAATGCTTGACTAAAAGGCTTACAGTGTAAAACACTTACATAGAACCATGGTATTAAGTGCTATACAATTTTGACTGTTTTTATTAGCACTACTATTATTGGCTGCAACTTGTAGTGACATTAGACAAATCATAAGACTGCCTCTGTTTTTCTACTGATACGTTACCCGGAATGGAACCGTTACATGTATTCTCTGAAAAAGCCCAGTCTCTGTAGACTCAAAAGGACACCACATCAGGCCTACCTTCATGTACATAAGTTATTCAAGACTTAAATTTTTCTATTCTCTGACTTTCAACATGTCTGTCTGTCTATCTTTCTCTGTCTCTCTCTACATCTCCCCCTCTCTCACTTGCTCTCTTGCACTCTTTCTCTCACTCTCACTCTCTTGTCTCTCTGTCTCTCTCTCTCTGTCTCTCTCTGTCTCTCTCTCTCTCTCTGTCTGTCTGTCTCTCTCTCTCTGTCTCTCTCTCTCTCTCTCTCATTGTCTAATATGTATCCCCTACCCTCTTTCCCTTTTCTCCAGGTTGTTGTACTTCTCGTAGGGACCAATAACCATGGCCACACAGCAGAGGAGGTAACAAACGGAATTGAAACGATCGTTAAACTCATCGTTGAGAAACAACCACAGGCTCGTGTCATAGTAATGGTAAGATTACACCTTGTTCACACACAACATGCTAAATCATCTGAAAAACATGAAAACCTCAAAATGACACCAGCATAGTATGCTTTATGTGCACAGATTAGCAATTACTACTGTATACCTTCCTTCCTCACACTCTACCTGCCATGTATTTATATGTGAATGTGAAATGGTGTTTCCTATGCTGCATTGTGTTTACTTCCTTTTTTTTTTTTGGGGGGGGGGGGGGGGGGGGGGGGTTATAGGCGGGATGACTGACTTACCTTGTAATGTGCAGACACAGCTTAATATTAGTTCACATCGTGTGCACATTTCAACATCATGGTCCAAGTTTTGCAACAAAATGCATTTACATGTACATGAGATATTATCAATTATAAGTTTCTTTTTTAATATAGCACTTTTCCTATAATGAGTAGATAACAGAAAAAACATCTCAGTGTACGCTAAAATACCAACTTGTGTTTCCGAAATGCAGGAAGAAAAGAAAAGAAGAAAGAACAAAAATGATTGATAGTCATGAATTTGTTCTTTATTTCACAAATCAAAAATGATGTTGTGTAATATTTCGTCCTGTGTTTTATTATGGATTAATTGCAAAATTATATTACATATCTACGTTTATGATCTTTTTTGATTTGTGTTTTATTATCAATTTTGATGCAAAATTATATCACATATCTACATTTACGTTTTTGTTGTTGTTATTTTTTTTCATCATATCCAGGCCATTCCTCCCAGGGGTCACATGCACAACAAACTCCGTGATAAGAACTCTGCCATCAATGTTGCCCTCGCGTCGTCTCTACCCGGACTCGGCAAGGCGGAGCTTGTAGACTCAACGAGCGGACTCGTCCAATCGGACGGGCTCATTTACCCCACGGACATGTTCGACTATCTTCACTTCACCAACGAGGGCTACAAGAAGCTATGTGAACCGCTTCAAGTCAGACTCGACGAAATCCTCTCTAAAGTTTGAGGCGGATCCGACCGAACGTCGTTGTGTTGAACTGTTGCGTGTAAGAAAAACCCCGTCAGCAAAGCGGTATAACTTGCCATACATGTACATGGAACCAGAGAAATAGCCCGCTGTTTTTTTGTAGTCATACTTGTGCACTAAACATATCCTGCAAAGTCCTCTACTGGTATTAAGAATCCCTTTATGTGTGCTGCTACATGCAATATTTAAAAGCAAAATACGAACTGCAGGTGTACCCGGTGGGGTAGCTCCGTAGGGCATAGGGGGTACTCCCACCCCCCCCCCCCCTGAAATGTCGAAAAAGGGAGTAAAGAAAAAAATGGAAAATAAGAGAGAAGGGGGGGGGGGGGGAGGTATGGGAAGGAACATGAAATCATGACAAGGAGATGATTTGATCATTTGACCCCTTTCCACCACATACTCCCTATAATCAACGCCCCCGATGATGCCGGCGCCCCCGCAATTTCTGGGTTCTTGTTACTCCACTGTGTATACCCCTGCGTATTAGTCTTTAAATCACAGCTACAGTGTACATTGTTTGATCCAAAGCAAATCTCTTATGGATTCTTGTACAACTTTTACCCTGCAACGAGTACATAGCACACACATGGAAAGGCTTCTTGTGGGAAAGTGTTACTTACTGCGTGACAACTTGTAAGATTTCTGTCCAAACCATCATTCCTGCTGTATAGCATACTCAACGTCTATTATTGTACCATGAAAAGAAAATAATGTACATGTACGTATTTCATGTAGGTTATCTTAACTGAAATTCATGTTCAGAAAGATTGTTTATTTTATGAAACATTCCTTGTAGAAATGCTTGAATTTAAGTAATTTGTCAAGCTGCCCCCATTCCACAAGCTATGTACATTATTCCATACAACTCAGTGTAAAAGCCTCTGTATATGAGAGCAGCTATCAAGTCATGTTTGATTGGCTAAAATCAAAGCATGGCCAAAATGTTATGTGATATATAAATACTTATTCTAAAAGTGTTCGTCCACCTTTTCAAAATATGTAGAAACAATATTTCCAATAGTTGCCATTGTAATTTCCCTCTAGAAAAAATTCATGCAGAGCTTAACATTCTGGCATGGCCCATGTACAGGTCTGCTTGAATACACAAAACCTTGAGTAGAATTTGCAGAAAAAATATGTAAGTGTAGTTTTAGGAACGAAAAAATGTAGATGGTTAACTGCAATGTATGATATCATAAAGTCAGCATAAAATGCAAAGTACTGTGACTAGATTGTGCGTTCATCCTTTTTTTTTCAAAGGAATTAAATTGTTATTCATATAATGGTATGTAAATGTACATGTTCAAATGGCCATGCACAAACTTTGGTAGGGGAATAGTCAAGAAAAATGACTAATATGGTAGATGGTAATATGATCAATTATCATTTTAGTGAAATATAGTACTTGGATATTGCTAGTTGTAGGGGAATAGTCAAGAAAAATGAATTATGGTAATATCATTTTAGCAATATATAGTCAAGTGAAAATTAAAATGAATGTCGTAATCAAGACGTTCTACTTATCTTAATCTTTTACAGTTACTGGCTGAATACAAGGGCACGGTTCACGAAACCATAATAGGTACAAGTCCACTGACATCCATTGAAACGAGACTACAATACACACCTTCCGTGGGATGTCGGTGAACTCGTTTTTGTGAAACAATGCCATGATAAAAGTACCGTATGTCAGTACATTACGGATACTAGATAAGTTGCTAGTCCTTGAATGCTTTTATGACCAATATTTTGTGTGCCATCTCAGATCTCAGTGAAGTCAGGGTTGCATCAAAGCTGTACATGTGACATGATGTTAAAGATCCTATCAGATGAAAATACAACTTTATATATCAATGAAAAGCTGAATGAACGTAGAATACAAATACAAAAGGAATGACAAATGTTTTTCCTTGCAGTATTGCACAAAAGCAAATTAAATACTTATTTGTCTGCACCCCTCCAAATTATGGGTCAACAGGGGTCAAGTTTGCCACAGTTATGGTGAGGACATAATATGTGGACCTGATTGGCTCGCTTATATGGCTGATGAGCCGTGCTTAATTAATGCAAAGTCATTGTGAATGTGCGTACTCCACATAAGATGATGTTTTATTTGAGTCGACAACTATAGATTTTCAAAGCTTTAGATTTGAAGTTTTCAGAGAGTTGTTACTCCTCTGACAGATGCCAAAATAGCATATAATCGATATCATTGTAACATATGGCTTATAAGCTTTCTGTTGATATATAATTCATCTATTTAATTTTTCACTTCCAACAGGGTTTTTAACAACTTTAAATATCCATACTTATTATTATCATCCCAACATCATTGATAATATCATTAATGTCATTTAACATCGCAGGCTCCTCCTGTTGTGTTGCTATTTTAATGAGTTTAGACTAGAACATCAATCGATATGAACATATTTCGGCTGAATCTGTACACATATGCCTGAAATTTATGACAATTCCCATGTCTTGATATAACTCCCTAACTCATTCCATTTTCCCCGAGTCAGAGCTAGATAATGTAAGGCCAATGTGCTGTAGACGCACTTAAAGCATTTTTCATTTAAAAAAAATGTTAATTTTACTATTCTTTAAAGAAAGATGTGTGATTGTTTATTTTTTGTGCATGTAATTGTAAGTCATAGACATCACTTTTAAGTAAATAGAATATATTTTCAGAAGTTTATTGTATTTCTTTTTCCTATAAAAAGATATTTGTTTGTTTTTATCATTTTTAATGTGTTAATGGAAGCTCCTTGTGTGAGTTATATTTATTTGTTTAATTACCTAAAGTGCACTTCATTTGAGTAGTGTGATTTCAAATGTCATACAGCAAGGGTTTTCTTCTTCTTTTTACAAAATTATATATATTTTTTCATTTGCTCAATAGGTTGCGAGCAACAGAAAACTTCAAACTTGCCAGACACATTTTGTTGTAGTTCATTGTATTCTTTTGCCCTGAAAACGAGATAATGAGAATATTGTTAATACATTCTATCCTATAAGGGTTATAGAAATACCATGTTTACAGAGTATTTGCTGGTTTAGTCGTTTATGCCATAAAAGGAAATACTCTGTCTGGTTAATGCTAATAAACTGTATGTCCCAATTTAAGTGTAATTATATATTTTAAAACTAGCCAGTTGTAAACAGAATCATTTTGAAGACTGGGAGTAGGTTATTTGAGTTTCAAACTGTTACAGTGGAAACCTGGTATAATGAGGATGTTGGGACCCTGAAAATGACCTTGTTATATCAGGGTAAAAAAGGGGGAAAAGGGAATGTAAAGAGACGAGATTGGCAAAATTATCTTCTTGTAACAGGTACACTCTAACAGGTCTCTCCATCTCGATATATGTCGGGTCTCTTTATAACAAGTTTCCACTGCAAATAATTCCAAATTTTGCCAGGCTTTTTATTTCACATCAGGGAAAAAGTGCCATATTTTTTGTACGCTTTTAATACAGTTAGCTAAATTTATGCTCCTGTGGAAATGTATTCAGTTTTCGACATGTACCATCACATGAAATCCAGGGAAACTGGTCAAGTTTAGCTTGTATTATATTACAGTCATGTACATTTATTTCATACACATATCAATGCTATATTTTTCTTTGCTCATACATATTCCTGTCCCGTAAATCATGCGTGTAAAATGCTTTTAAATCCTTCTTTATCTAATTTACAGACACCAGTGATTATATTGGTACGTGTTTCCTTTCAATTCTAGTTTGTTAAAATGCAAGCACCATCCTAATATAGGCTTGTATGTAGCTGCTTATAATGGGAAATAGTGACATTTTAATTACATGTTTTGAACAGGGAAAACTGTACTTATGATGTCTTTTGTTGGAAATATTTTTCCAGATCATTTTTTTTTAAAGAGAACAGTACTATTTCTTTGCCCCCTCCCTCAAGATATTTGTTCACCTCTTCTTGTTTTTTTTAATGCAATATATGTTATGTTCACAAAATGAATTGATCCAACAATTCATTCTTGCGCTTTGAACTAGAGTTCATTTTGCACAAAAATGTACCAAATTTGTTCATTACAATACAAAGTGGTAATACTCTTTGGTGACATTATTTTTCGTCTTCTTATGCTATGCTTGATTTGCATAAATATAGCAGTCGCTTCTCCAGAAAACTTCATTCCATAATTGTTTGATTTCTGTATTTGCTGCCAATTTTATGACTCAAATTTAATATAAGAGGGACCCGGTAGGATGACAAAAGCCTTTGTGATAGTAATTTCCATATGCCCACACAGTGACCATATGGTAGCAATACTCCCCAGGGAGTGGAGATGGGGCACACTGCGTGAATGAATCCAATGACTGGGTAGTAATAACAATATCTGTAAAGCGCTTAGAGAGGGTATTTACTATCAAGCACTGTATAAATCCAGATTTATTATGAATATTATATTTTATTTAAAGTTATTGACATTCCTCACTAGAGGAATGACAAATCCACTAAGTTAGCTCAAGAGCAGAATTAATCTTCTGCAGGAAAGTTAATTGTATTTTAATTGCTTTTAGTTCCATATTTATCTTGCCAACTTGAATTCTTTTGTTACTGATACCCTTTAAACACTTTTCAGATTGATAAGTTAATGTATTCAGACCAATTATTAATATCAGAACCTTCAACATTATATTTAGATGGAAATGGTCAGGAATTTTACCTTGATTTAACGAATGTATTTGAGTAGTAAGTTATTTGGAATAAGTTGTTGAAATATGGTGAAATGTTACTTGAAATATCAGCTCTTCAAAATATTTAAACCTAGGTGGATATCTTGTATTTTTCTTCAACTGAATCATTTATTTTCTGTTGTTATGACAACAGAAAATTAGAATGATGTTGTTATTCTACAAGTACAAGTTTCCCTTTAGGATTTGCTTTTCATGAACCTTATTCACTTTTTTATATTCCACATAATCAAAAGATCTTTATCTGTAGTACATGTAATTGAAAAGAAAATATTAATTTGTTGTAGTTGAAAAAATAATATGATGTAGGCTGTTTTTAGAGATGCGCGATTGTTGCAGATCGCTCAAAACTCCTCCAATCAATCGCAAGCTCACAAATCCTTTCTCCTTTATACTGCAAAGTTGTGATTGAAATCAAATTGTGATTAATATCAAATTGTGATTAATTTTGAATCGGTTGCAAGTTTCCACAACTGTTCATAGGACAGGTCCTTAGAATCACTAATGTTTCGATTCTGATAAATCAATTGCCAATATATTTTCAGTTTTAGATCATTTGCCCATGTAGACAGGTGTCATAAAATGACCCATATTTACATTTAAGTATGCAGGCCTCATAGCTGGTTTAGAGATATAGTTATGTCACAGGAAGTTGCTTCTGATTGGTCAGGTTTACATAGAGCTTCAACAAGATCCTTCCCATAAAGATATACATGGGAGGAAATTTGGAGCTGATTTTGTGTATGCATGTCATAACTATCTCACTCAATATGCTATGGAGGTCTGTATCGCAGGCATTTGTCAAGCAAGTTTTCCTGACAATTTTTCAAAAATATTCAGGAAACTGCACCAAGAATCATGAAGTGTATAATGACAGCAATTACAAATCATGTTTATAGGTTTAACTGTGGAAGTTGATATTGCAACGAAACCATTTTAGATATTGCACAAAGAAATAGAGTGCTCATAGAATGTAGTTGAAACTTACATGTAATTTTGTGAAGTAAATTCCAACTGTGAATGTACATATTAGTGCTGAAGTAGAAACAATAAATATATTGTGATCTTAATGTATAAAGAGAAACGTTTGTTAACCTTTCTTTGGTTTGTTTTCTGATCATACTTTAATAGATAAGAGATAAGGTGTAAAGTAACAAGGCTGCCCACTAGGATGGGTGTACCGTCATTATTTTAATTTCATGTCCCCCCCCCCCTTTCTCTCCAGCTCCCCTTCCCTTCTCTCCCTGTCTGTCTCTATTTCTCTCTCCCTCCCTCTCTTTCCTTCCCTCTCTCCCAGATATCTCTCTATTTACTTTTTTGTTTGTTTTTCTGCCATTCGATGTGGGGGGCTGGAGGAGGGCATACCCATCTATAGCTATGTCGATGATAACCTGATTCACTATGAATATACTTGGTTACACGCATAACTAAACGGGCCAATTATCAAACGAAATAACAATAATTTGTCCATTGCTAATAGACTTTAAATCATTCCAAAATATATAAGTAAAGAATATAATTTCCATGAAACCCAACATGAAACATCAATATTGATCTTTGCACATTAACACCATGACAGATTTCCTCATAAGAAATGAATCTACTTTTATTACTGTTCATTTTTAATAAACATTGAATACGTAAATTCAAATTTAACAATAGCAGAATGAATGTACATGAATCAAGGTGGCTGTACACACATCACATTTTTTGAATAAAAACAAATATAGATGAACCTGTATAAACAGGTAAGCAAAGACATATTTGAGATAAAATGTGAGTGGCAAGAAGTCAGGATTTGGCAAATTTCAGTGCATGTTATGATTGATACGCCAATGTGTACATATTTACAAGTAAATACAAGCAAATAAAAATGATCTGTCAGATTTCATCAACTTACAGGCTTATATTCTAGTCACACTTAAAAGGGAAATCCAACTTTGACAGTAAACTACTCTGGAAGAAAGAAGAGTAAAATAGAAAAGCAGACTGGTGAAATTTGAAATGAAACTGGACAACAAATTAGAAATAAGGGACAACTTTCCCTTTGTTCCAACACACAAAGTGCCTAAAATCTCAATTTGTCAACATGTATGATTCAGGAGCATACATGCCAACATTTGAAAATCAGAAATCTGTACAAATTATGCTATTTTCAAAAAAAAGAGGAACAATCCTAACTCTCCTATTCAATACTACAGACAAATTTGTACAGGAAGAGGAACACCTGCATTAAAATGATAATTATCTTCTCCCAAAAAGAGGAATGTTCCTCTTTAATCTGAACAGTTGGCATGTATGCAGGAGGGTATTTTCTCTTTAGAGGACCCATTATGATATGAATGTGCTATATATCCATAATATAATTTGATTAGTGCACCTAGGGAGAAGGCACTTAGGTGAAAAACAGAAATTAATATTTTTGTACACGTCAAATTACATTGAGAGTTATCTGCGATTCCATCACATTCCACTACCAAATTGCCAATTGAGATCCGCATATAGGCTTAGTGATCTCATATTTCAAACATTCGCCATTGTGTTTCTCTAATGTTTTTGCCTACCCGGTGCATATAAATGAACTAATTACGATGGTTGGGTTGCCCTTTGATGAGACCGAAGCCAAAATTTAATATGCACATATTGCTGAACAAGATTTTCATATGCAAATCTTTTTATGTGGGGATGTTGTGGTGTAACTCTTTTCATCTTGAATCATACACAGGAACATTTATTGTGAACTTTAATGAAAGTAATATTGTCATGACCAATTGAATAATGAAGCAATCAATGAAAAACAAAAGATTGGACTCTCGGAAGTTTGTAAGTTGATAAACACGGTGGTAAAGAATGGAATAAAATTTAATAGTGTGTTCTCATGATCCTAAGTTGCTTCTGAAGGTTCTTCTGATATGACGCTTGGTTCCTCTGTGGCATTGGGAGGTTCCTGTGCCGGTTCAGCTGGTTCCTGTGCCATTTCAGCCGGTTCCGGTGCCATTTCAGCTGGTTCCTGTGTGCTGTCTGCAGCCTCTTCTGTGGTTTCAGGTGGTACGTCCTCAATTCCTTGTGGTGTTGATTCACTTTCTTCAGGTGCTGTCTCAGTTTCTAATGGTGCTTCTTCGGTGTCCTGCGGTGCAGCTTCAGCTTCTAATGGTGCTTCTTCAGTGTCCTGCGGTGCAGCTTCAGCTTCTAATGGTGCTTCTTCAGTGTCCTGCGGTGCTGCTTCAGCTTCTAATGGTGCTTCTTCAGTGTCCTGCGGTGCAGCTTCAGCTTCTAATGGTGCTTCTTCAGTGTCCTGCAGTGCAGCTTCAGCTTCTAATGGTGCTTCTTCAGTGTCCTGCAGTGCAGCTTCAGCTTCTAATGGGGCTTCTTCAGTGTCCTGTGGTGCAGCTTCAGCTTCTAACGGTGCTTCTTCAGTGTCCTGTGGAGCAGCTTCAGCTTCTAACGGTGCTTCTTCAGTTTCCTGTGGTGTAGTCTCTGTTTCTTCAGGATTTGCCTCAGTATCTGCAGTATATCGAATACACATAACCCACAATTTATATAAAACTTGTCCACATGATTATAAAGATGAAGTTAATGAGTCTACATGTATGTAGTGTAATTTCTTCACATTTTGATTATCACTTTTCAATACTGGGGAAAATTTTCATCCAATTTCAAATAGACTAGTTAACTGTCTCAAATCCTATTATTTTGTTCAAACATGACGATAAAACCCCAAGAATTGTTTGTTGTTGTTTGTTTTTTGTGCAGATGAAGGCCAAAGCCGCAAAGAGGGTGAGAAAAATAATTAATGCGCAAGACAATTAAGGTTTGATATGCATTCACTTTATTATCTGTGTGTAATACGATATAAAAATGTGGAGCATGTATATGTACATGTACATGACGGTTGACCCTTAATATCAGCATCCTCGAAAGATACTGTTTGTTATACCTCAACATCTACATGTATATGCATTCGCTTTTCTTGTCCCTCGATTAACCCATTCCAAACCATAGGTCTTTCTGGCATAACATGTCTATACATGTCTTTGTCATTTAAATTATAATTGTAGTATCCAAAGGATCAATATAAAAACCTAAAACCCCTGAGCATTTCTCCTTACCTGCATCCTGATCGGCCGATTCCTCAACTTTCTCAATGACATCATTTACCGGTGTCGATGCTGTTTCTGACAAAACAAATAATGGTGAAAATGGAATTAAAATTTGATAGAGAGTAGGTTTAAAAGGCCCCTCCTGTGCCACAAAATGTTGAAAAATAGCAGAAATTAAATGTGAAGGATCTAATTTGCATCTTGATCTTTGTTTCCTGAAATCAATCACATCAAACATGTTCATATTTAAGCAAGATGACGATGCTGAGTCCATTAAGCTGCATTAATTCAGTTGCATGTATGCTTTGGTAAGCCGCAGCAGGAATTTATATAATAACATTTCTATATCTGATAACACAGAGCTCAGTAAATACATGTATGTGAGGTTAGAAAAAAATAGCATTGAAAAAAAAGAATACTAGAGTTGCCAATTTGATAGAGGCAAATTGTCAAGTTACTTCTTGAAAGAAATTTTGATTGGATTTCACTGCAATGGAAAATATCAAAATTTGATTCCTTGGTAAAGAACTGAACTGGAATAGGCTGAGAGCCCTCACTTTGACCAAGTTTACATCTAACTAAGATAGCACTCATGCTAATCCATTCAAGACTGGGAATTTCAAAGGGCTGATTCAATAGATTTATCACCTAAATTGGCACAACTGATCATTTTCTTTCTCCGTTACACTTTTTTTTTCTGTTACACCTTTCTAATAAATTTTATTGTGTTGTATCTGAAAGAAAATAAATATCCAGAAACTTTGCGTTATTTGTGGTTCTTTTTCTTTGTCAGTACCTTGTGTCAAACAGCATATTGGAAAGCATTTAGAAAAGGACACTGGTTGATAGATAGTTCTGCTTTCTCTCTCTATTTCTCTAATCTTGCATATATCGAGGGCTCAGTGACACAAAGACGTAACTCCATATTTTGCCAAAATGAGTATTTAATATCAAAATGTTCAGAAAAATTTGGATTTTCCAGGAAACACAAAGACTTAACTGCACCCAACATCCCAGTAAAATCAATGGCTAGTGAAACATAGACTGAACTCCTAAAGGGCTAAGTGCTCAGTGACACATAAACCACTTTTTCTAAAAATGGCCAAAATGGAGTTTTTGTGTCACTGACCCTACGATATAGAATACAGTTTTAAAAAGACTTCCAATGACTTTCAATGAAGAAAAATGATGATAATTTGATTGGTCCCTTTTAAATGAGCTTCAATTCCTCAGAATTCAAACACACTGGTGGTGTACCTGTTGCTTGTTTCTTGGTAGCAGGGCCGGTATCGCCCCCCGCCTTGTCCCCGGTCTCGCCCCCCTCCTCCTCCTCCTGGGGTACAGGTCTCTTGACCTGCTTCTCTGATAAGGCCGCCCTGTCCTTTCTGAGCTGGCTGTACTGGGACTGGACTCGCTCTATAAGCTCCCCCTGTTGGACCGGGTCATAGCCGGTACCTGCATGCACGCATGGTTAGGAAGTGAATGGATGGATGGGTAATGCATGATAATGTATCAGTTTCTGAATAAGTAATGTGTGAAATGATTAGAATGAATGTGTTATAAACAGAGACAGAGAGAAAGGGAAAGAGAGAGAGAAAAGGGAAAGAGAGAGAGAAAGGGAAAGAGAGAAAGGGAGAGAGAGAGGGAGGAGAGAGAGGAGAGAGAGAGAGAGGGGGGGGGGGGGGAGGGAGATGAACATACATGAATGTACATGTATCTTGGACACATGAAATCGGCAATGAAAGAAGCATGAATATTTAATGGATTGAAAGAAAGGGCAAATGGACACATACATGTACCTGCGCATGTGAAAAACATGAAAATAAATTCCTAAGAAACAATAGCATAAATTGAGAAATAAATATTTTTGAGTACCAAGAAATGAATGCATATTGGTTAAAATACATGATATTAGAAACATGACATGAGGGAGAAAGAAAGAAAAAGAAAAAGGTAGTTCCCAAATTGTACACTGGCTAATCACTAGAAAGTAAATAAAAATGTGAAAGAACATGGATGTTTCTATACGACAGCAATTTTGTTTCCTACAGAAAGTGTAAAAATCTTCAGCCCTTAATTTCAATTTCATTTTCTTTCTTCTTCATTCTTCAACTTTACAAAGTGCAAACTTCAGTTTGATACTATTTCAAACTTGTGAGCGATCAATAATTAGTGACCAAATGTTACAAACTGTACATTGCTTATTACACCTGATATACAAGTACATTGGTTGTATGTCCTCTGGTATTGCTCCACCCCCCCCCCCCCCCCTCCTCTCACCCGCTGTACACCCATGCAAAATGTACACACATTCTAGATAAAGATGTACTCACTGGCTGTTTTTTTAAAGCATATCCTCTAGGAAGACAGCATTGAACCTGATGTTTTCCTTTTGTCTACCCCCACCCCTCCCCCCTACACACACACACACACACACACACACACCGCCTCTGGATAACAAGCCCATGTGTACATGTATGTGTTCACATCTTAAACAGATTTGTTTAAAAATAATAAAATGTTACTCACTGTCTCTAATGGTGAGCACATCCTGTAGGAAGTCGGCGATGAACTTGATGTTATCCTGGGGTTGCTCCCGTAGGACCTCGTGCGAGATGAGACGGATAATGTTCTGGAAACCAGGAGGGACGGCGAGTCTCACCGCCCCGTACCTCATCGACTGGTCCGAAAGGAATTCAGTTAGATCTGAAAGATGAAGGGGAAAATACAGAGTCAATACTTGGCATAGGTGTAGAGATTGAATTTCTTTTAAAAACATAACTGGCATACTGATTAAATTAGATAAAGGCAAGCATTTTGCAGAGACTGATTTTTTAAAAAACCAGGAGGGACGGAAAGTCTCACTGCCCCGTACCTCATGGACTGATCCGAAAGGAATTCAGTTAGATCTGAAAGATGAGGGGGGGGGGGGGAATACAGAGTCAAAGCTTCGCGTAGGGATTGAATTTGTATTTAAAAAATACTGGTATACTGATTTAATTAGATAAATTAGAGGATCACCAAGACTTTGCAAAGACTGATGTTCTGAAAACCTGTAGGGATCATGCCGAGTCTTACCGTCCCATACCTTATGGACTGGTCTGAAAGGCTGTTGGTTAGATCTGACAGCTACTGTAAATCTGACATATTAAAATATGATACTTTGTGTAGGTCTCAATATTTAATTATAAATTTAAGGACCAGAGATATTAAGCAAAGAGTGATGTTCTGACTTCTGAAAGCCAATGCATGCTGCTAATAATTCCCTTTGCATTTAATGAAAAAGCAAGAGGTCATCACATATGTACCCATGGACTTCTAAATTAATGCATTCCCATATTCTTCAATACTAGGAGCCACCAAATTGCTATAGGCAATAGGTACATGTAAATAATAATATGCGATTCTTGCATAGCCTATAATCACATTATCATTATCTACATTGTACATGTATGCAGGGCTTCCAATATGCTCATATAACACAGAGTTAATGACCTTCTGGTTGTTAAAGGTAAAGACCAGTATGACCCAATTTCAAAAAAATGAAATGGAAGCTCTAATTACCAATCATGTGAAAGAATATGTTTTGACTAATACATGATGATAACAATTTTGCCGAGAAACCGCCTACTAATTAAATTAGTTTATCTATTGGGATGTGAGAGAGATAAACGCACGTGTCGCTCACGTCTTTCTGTGTACAGTGCTAATTGTAACTTTACAAAGACGGCCAAATTCTTTCACATTTTGATGATTCCAGAACCTTGCAGTATACACCAATACTTATATGCTAGATGATCAACCTTTTCTGATCGATTCTACAACGTTTCTTTCACAATGCAATCGCATGACCATAACTGGTCTTCATCTTTAACAGAATGTACACATGATGTATCCATAGAAATTAAACCCATGCCTAAACATCCAGTAAATGACTTCTGTATGAATTATTTAGTACCTAGCACACGCTCCTAGCCGCACCAAACTGCCATAATTGCACGCCTCGGGGATGGAGGCACAATTAGTCTGGGTTTGGATGCATCTAAAGCTTAAATAAGTTTACAAGCAGTATCAGTGTAAGTGACGTGGAGACTGCACAATACATATTGTTGCAGAATGGATAATTATGAAAGGATGACGCTTATTAGAGAGAAGCTGGATATCTCGTTTAAGATGAAAAGAGATTTATCCTTCTTTGTATGTCAGTCTGCAGTCGAAATGTCCCCTAAAAAGGACTGCTCTCAGATTAAAAATAAAAGCTGATTTTTTTTTTCCTGATTGCTTCCATGAATGCAGTGGCTTCCATACATGAACATGTAGTATGTACACAATGTTAATCACAAGACCACTCTTCAACTTTATATTTAAATATTACAAGCCGACAAATCCATTCTAATACCCCATCAAAACACACCCTTAAAAAAATCATTGATTTTTGGACTACCATTAAAATTTACACTAGATCTAGGCCCTACTGGGAAAACCCATGAAAAACCATCAAAGTTTGCTCATACCGGTTTTGAGATGAGTATAGTATGCATGCCCGACTCGTTGGTTCCCTGCATTCCCTGCATGCGTTAGCGGGGAGAGTTTCATGAGCAAAAACGGTATAGATGTCTATCACCGAAGGTTGCTTTTTTAAAGTTTTACGCTGCAAAAAATTGGTGAAACTTTGTCAGGCATTTAAAAAAAACATGCACACTCCAGACTACCAGTACCAGGGGTAGATCTAGATCTAGACCCTAGATTTAGGTTTTTTATTTGGATTTTTCATCGTGTTTGCCAGGGGTTGCTATGCAACTTGACTACCGACAAAACACAAGAATGTGAGAAAAATCAGAAAATTTGTTGCAGTGTAATTAAATGCAGCTTGTGACTGTAAGTGTATTGCCTAGACCTAAGCAGTAGCTATGGGGCCGAGGGGGGTATTCCCAATGTGACTGGCTACGCACCCGCGTCCAGAAAAAGCGGCGAAAGGGTGTCTTTTTCAGCTATACGGCGGCGTCGACGTTTTCCTTAAAAAGGGGTGTTTTTCAAGCACTGATTGCACAAAAACCAAAAAAAGGGTATCTTTTCAGGAGCACAGGTTTCAACGTTTTCTTTTTAGGGTCATTTCAGAAAAAGTGTAATACGCCATTAGGGTCCATTACAGATGTTGATGGACACGGGTGGGTAGCATTTGTGTATGAGAGTGACCCCCCTGGGCTGGGGGAGTTTGACAAAAACTAATAATAACAGTATTTATAACGCGTAGCATATCCATCGCTAGAGATGCTCAAGGCGCATACAAATAATTTAAATTAATATTCAACATACATGTACTTAAGATTAAAGAAATATTAAATGTTAACTTGCATTAGATCATACAAGTTCATGGTGCCAAGGTACATACAATGTGGCACAGTGTTATTGTTTGTTTTGCATGCATTGTATAAAAAGAACATTGAAATTTAACAATATGCATTGAGCATCAGATGAGTTTTAAGCCCAGTTTTGAAAGTAGAGAGAGTGTTGGCCGTCTGAATAGAGAAAGGTAACTTATTCCACAAAGGAGCTGCTGATGCAAATGCTCTATCCCCCAATTTCTTTTGGTACGTATTTCTTTAAGTCTAATATTTTGTGATGACCGTAAACCAGAACGACCTGCGGAGTGTGGTGATAGAAGGGATGAAATATATTCTGGAGCTACATGTAGATCATTTAGTGCACGATAGGTTAAGAGTAGAATTTTATAGATCACACGCTGTTGAACAGGGAGCCAGTGCAGATATTTCAAGATAGGAGTGATATGATCTTCTGGTGTTAGTTACAAGGCGAGCAGCAGCATTCTGAACTTTTTGCAATCTGTTAATTTGGTTGGCGGGTAGCCGAAAGAGTAATGAATTGCAATTATCAAGGTGCGAAGTAACAAAAGCATGTACTAACTGTTGGGTGGATTGAGGTGAGAGATATTGCCTAATTGCACGGATATTATGAAGATTACAATTTGCCAGTTTAACACAATTTGAAACATGGGTTTCAAGTGACATGGAAATATCAAATATTACACCAAGATTCCTAGCTTGATGTACAGGAGATACAGGGGCAGAACCAACTTGAACATGAGAAACCTTAATTTTACTGAGTTGTCTACTGTTGCCAAGAAAAATGAATTCTGTTTTTGCATCATTTAGTTTTAAGCGACTCTCAATCATCCATTTCCTTACATCAGCTATACAGTTTTCAATTTTCTTTACATTTTCATCTATTTCTTTCTGGACAGGTTTGCAAATAAAATAAAGCTGTAAGTCATCTGCATACATGTACATATGATAATTAATGCTGTGTTTTTGAACAATATGCTGTATGGGCAGAGTATAAACATTGAACAATTGCGGACCGAGAACAGATCCTTGGGGGACTGAAAAATCTAAACTAACTGAAGCAGAGGTAGCATCACGGATACAAACTTCTTGTGATCTACTAGAAAGATATGACATAAACCACTTCAATACAATACCCTTGAGACCTATTTCCTTTAATCTATTTAGCAAAATGCAATGATCAACGGTATCAAAAACACTGCTGAGATCAAGCAGTACTAAACTAGAGACATTTCCATTATCCATACCAATTAATACATCATTGTTTAACAATGCACTTTCCACGCTATGCATCTCCCTGTATGCTGACTGAAAAGGATTTTGCAAACTCTTAAGTGAGACTGTAGTCTACCGGAAACAACTCTTTCTATTACCTTGCCTAAGTATTTTAGTTAAGCAATTGGTATGTAGTTTTTCAAATCCCGTCTGTCAAAAGAGGGTTTCTTCAAAAGGGGTTTGATGAGGGCATGTTGTAAACAGTCAGGAAAGAATCCACACTTTAGAGATTTATTATCTATCTGAGTGATATAACTTATAAGGAACAAAGTCATTGACAAATTCTTTAGACAAGTTGGTATCGGATCTAAATCACATGAAGACACAGGGGAATTCATGATGATTTTTCTAATTTCAGTACATGTGGCGAGAGTGAATTCTGACACGCCAGTAGATGGGACAGGAACTATTTCTGAAAGGGTGTCAGTACTTCTGTAAGAACTTAAATCAGTTAACTCTTCTCGAATACTTCTTATCTTATCTATAAAATAATCACAAACACGATTAGCAAGATTATGATCATTATCAGTGTTGAGATATAATGGATCCTTCTTCCTGTCTAATAACTTATTAATAATTCTAAAGACGTTTCTGGTCTCCTGAACAATCAGCAATAATGTCGGTTTTAAGAAAATTTAACCAGATCGCAGATGGTTATTCTGCATGTCTAGTATGATCTAGATCTAGAGTCTAGTCTAGTAGTACTCTATGAGTATGAGTAGACCCATGACTATGAGTATGACTAGATTCAACATAGATCTAGATCTAGCCTCGCTACATTGCTCTTGTTGGTTAGCCTTGCCCTTGGCCTGGCTGCATGTCCTTATTTGGGGCCTTGCTTGAAAGTTGAATGGTTCGGGTGTCAAGGGATATGGACGGTACCGTATGTACCGTATGTAGCCTGTATACGGTACATGTGGCTGTAGGCCTATACAGTATACGGTAGTGTAGGGAAAATTCCAACAGGCTAAACCCAGAAGCAGTGACCGGGATTTACAGGTCAACGCCTTCTTCCTGTACCATATGATGATAATGATGATGATGATAATGAAGGATTGAAGGTCGAGGTTGACAAATCATCAAATGTCTGAAATTTATGAAGAGTGTGTTGTAAGCACCCGTACCCGGTCGCGCCGGTCGCGCCGTTCGCAGGCCGTGAATGGATAAGGCGTTCAACAAATGTTCGTCACTTCGTGCAATAATAACTTCTGAATGTATAAAATGTTAGAATAGACCTAATTACATATCTTAAAACGAGCAACGTCAATGCAAACAGACTGAAAAGAAATTCTTACCGTTCATTGCATTGATGTGATTCCTATGTAGGAATGAATGAGGGATCAACACTGATGTTCACTTCAGCCGACCTTTTCACAAAATAACTTTCGATCTTCTGAAGATTTCATTCAAAACACGTTAATCAATTTAGAGCTACAGGGGGCGCTATAGTAAAAAGCCAACTTCGGAGGATGATAATAATTTCAGTGAACTAGAATCTAACACGAAGGTAGAGAGATTCGGTCAGTATTATGCACAGGCCTCCTAAATAAATTAAGGATGGCTAGAGACTCAACTAAAACTGTGACAACTTAGCTCCCGCCCCCTAAAACTTAATTGAGTTTGGTATTTTTGTTTTAATCCTTGAAGATATCTCGGAGGGGGGGGGGGGGGGGGGGGGGGGGGGGGGGGGGAGGTTAGTGAGCACAATTTTTTTTTTTTGGGGGGGGGCCCTCAAAAATCTGAAAAATCGCACCCCCCCCCCTTCCTTGAGCTCCAGAAGGGGGGGGGGCATCTTTAAAAAAATGGTAAAATTAACGTGTTTTTACAGGGTTTTTCATCTGGCTTGATTCCTCCCTTGAACCTCACTCTCTTCCCTCCCTCTTTCGTCAATTCCCATGCACCCTCATGTCCCCCTCCCTCCATCTCTTCTCCCTCACGCTCTTTCCTCCCTCTATCCTCCACTCCCATGCACCCTCATAATTATGTCTCCCTTCCTCCCTCCATCTCTTCTACCTTTCCTCTCTCGCGTTCTTTCCTCCCTCTATACTCCACTCCCTTCCTCCCTCCATCTCTTCTCCCTTACATTCTTTCCTCTCTTCCCTCCCTCTATCCTCCACTCCCATGCAATCTCATATGTCTCCCTTCCTCCCTCCATCTCTATATACCTTTCCTCCCTCGCGTTCTTTCCTCCCTCAATACTCCACTCCCTTCCTCCCTCCATCTCTTCTCCCTTACATTCTTTCCTCTCTTTCCTCCCTCTATCCTCCACTCCCATGCAATCTCATTTGTCTCCCTTCCTCCCTCCATCTCTTCTACCTTTCCTCTCTTGCATTCTTTCCTCCATCTATCCTCCACTCCCTTCCTCCCTCCATATCTTCTCCCTTACATTCTTTCCTCTCTTTCCTCCCTCTATCCTCCACTCCCATGCAATCTCATTTGTCTCCCTTCCTCCCTCCATCTCTTCTACCTTTCCTCTCTTGCATTCTTTCCTCCATCTATCCTCCACTCCCTTCCTCCCTCCATATCTTCTCCCTTACATTCTTTCCTCTCTTTCCTCCCTCTATCCTCCACTCCCATGCAATCTCATATGTCTCCCTTCCTCCCTCCATCTCTTCTACCTTTCCTCTATCGCGTTCTTTCCTCCCTCTATACTCCACTCCCTTCCTCCCTCCATCTCTTCTACCTTTCCTCTCTCGCGTTCTTTCCTCTCTTTCCTCCCTCCATCCCCGGCACTCATGCACCCTCCATCTCTTCTACCTTTCCTCCCTCTATCCTCCACTCCCTTGCACCCTCATAATGTTCTCCTTCCTTCATCTCTTCTCTCTTTCCTCCCTCTATCCTCCACTCCCATGCACCCTCATATGTCTCCCGTCCTCCCTCCATCTCTTCTCCCTTTCCTCCCTCATGCTCTTTCCTCTCTTTCCTCCCTCCATCTCCACTCATATGCACCCTCATCTCCTTCGATAATTCCCTGCCTCCCTTCACTGCCTCCCTTCCCTTCTCTACCTTCCCCTCTCTCTGGATTCAAACCTTACAAATAAATCATAAATTCAGACTCGGAATAAGAATAATAAGAAATACTTTAATCTTGGCAAATACTCTGTACACAATATGGACACATTTCAGATGTAATGAAATTTCAGTTCATTTGGTATTCATTGCATATCATAAATACATGGCTGTAAACTTACAAAATATAAGGGCTGCAGTGATCAGGTTCTCTTCTTAAAATTGAAAACGTTCTTTTATTGCTATATATCATGTATCTTCAAAGAATATTTATTTATACACTGATAGAAGTGTCTGTGACTGGTATGCCAGTTTGCATTACAAAATTGTGATTTTGACATTTTCAACATGTTACAGAGTTCAGGATTTCAATGCATATCTCTCTCCTATACAATTAGCTCTTAGCATCAAGGCTAACATCAAATTACAAGACCACTTTGTTCATACATGCAGGCATTCAGCATAAGGCATACAAAACTTGGTACACATCTATACTGATAGATAAAAAGGAAGAAGATGAAGAAAAAACAAAAACATTATCAAGTACTGGAATAATCCCTGAATTGCATATAGACACACATGTACAGTTGGGCCCAATATACATTATCACAGTTTCTCTTAATCCTGCCAACTTTTCACTTCAGGAAGACAAATATTGTCTCTGTCTATAGTAGGTATTATTAACTTTTCACAAGTGCGAATTGGCACCTTCAACTGCACCCCGCAGTAATAAATGAAAGTCCTTCCCCGCGTGGATTTTTTAACACTGACCTGGCTTGCTGCCGACAGAGTCGGCAAAAATAAAAAAATTCTTGGCCCCCCAAAAAGGGATGCGACTTATACAAGGAGATTTACAGTTATATACAAAACATAAGGCAAACAAAACTTGGTACACATCTATCTACTGATAGTTCAAATGGAAGAAGACAAAGAAAAAATAAAAACATTATCAAGTACTGGAATAATTCCTGAATTGTAGATATACATACCGGTACATGTACAGTTGGGCCCAATATACATGAGCAGAAGGTCATTGCAGACCAAATTGTGAAAAAAAACTGAATTACACGGAGACAGAATACTGGATACATGCTCATGAAAGTTATGTAATCGTTGTTCAATTATGCACAAGCAGTACACTCCATGATACACAGGTGGAAGCATTCTTCGAAAAGGGAAAACAAAGGCTATTTATGTAGCACCTCCATCGCTGAAGGAGTGATTATTTCAAAATGTACAAAGTGGGACCTCTTCATGTTTTGAAGATCTGTGGATATTCAGGGTCATTTAGGACATGTGCTAACCATGAACTGGTCTATTTCACTCACTCCTGCCAACTTTTCACTGCAGGAAGATAGACAAAATTTGTCTCTGTTTATAGTATATACAAAGCATAAGGCACATACAACTTGGCACACATCTACTGATAGTTAAAATGGAAGAAGACAAAGAAAAAACAAAAACATTATCAAGTACTGGAATAATCCCTGAATTGTAGATATACATACCGGTACATGTACAGTTGGGCCCAATATACACATTATCACAATTTCACTCATTCCTGCCAACTTTTCACTTCAGGAAGTTAGACAAATATGGTCTCTGCTTATATATACAAAGCATAAGGCACATACAACTTGGCACACATCCACTCAGAGGCCTGATAGTTAACATTGAAGAAAAAACAACAACACTATTAAGTACTGGAATAATCCTTGAATTGTATACATACGTGTACAGTTGGGCCCGATATACATTATCACAATACACTCTTTCCTGTCAACTATTCATTTCAGGAAGATAGAAAAATGTTGTCTCTGTTTATAGTATATACAAAGCATTGAGGCACACAAAGCTTGGTACACATCTACTGATACTTAAAATGAAAGAAGACAAAAAAAAACAACATTATCAAGTACTGGAATAATCCCTGTAATGTAGATATACACACATGTACAGTTGGGCCCAATATACACATTATCACAATTTCACTCATTCCTGCCAACTTTTCACTTCAGGAAGATAGAAAAATATGGTCTCTGTTCAATATGTATAGTATATACATCACAAATCACTCAGAGACGAGTGACTCCAGATGGGAATGAGTGCAGTTGAGAAAATCTGAGTAAAATGAGTTTCTTACAGGTGCATGTAAACTTTCGGGGCCCAACTGTGTATACTCAACTTGTGTGAACCTGAACAGAATGCATACAATTAAGTACAACATGGTAATGTAGATACTTAATAAAAATAACAGTAACAATACAAAACGTCCTCATGGTCAATATTGCATTCTGGGGACTCTTCTATAAAAGTTCGAAATTAAAATTACATCTTCAACCAATCAGGATCGCATATTTAGTAATTGCATTTACTTCTTGAGTTGTGTTTGACATTGCAGCTTTTAAAGCAAGAGGGCCCTTGTAATGGAATCCCACTTGCAGACAAACTGGCTCAGATTAACCCTGGGCCCTGTTTCATAAAACTTGTTATCAATAACAAGTGTCACATTTCTATGACAAATTTGCTCTAAGCTAAACAAATGCAATGATTTCAGTAGCTTATAAATTCTGCATGATTATAGATGTGTTGTGTGTTTTTATATGAATGTTTGCTATTGTATAATCAAGGAACCACGTGGAAGGGAAAAAAATGCTTGTCACAAAAGTAGTCATGGAGGGTCAACATTTGATCCTATGATCCAGGCTTTACTTCATGAAATATATAGGGTTATTAGGGTTTCACTTTATTTTTAGTTAAGACAATAATGTTTAGGGTTACGAATATGTACACATAACATAATATATCTAATGTGTATGAGTATAACGTTGCGATGTGGTGATAGTTACGCATACGCATTGCCTCCAAATATACACTTAATACTTAATGAATGATCAGCATATCTCTTTAATACATTGAATGTGGTGTTTCATTACTAGTGTTATATCATTTCACTTTACCTTTACAGTACAGTGTAAGGTCTGAGGCTGAAGTCAGTGTAGGAAACCCAAGTAGAAAAGTTGTTGCAGGAGCAAGTGTCATACAACTGTCTTGGAGATAGTTCTATATGATCAAGCAGCACCTAATCCTGCTGTGCGATTTGGATGGTTGTACACTACTACCCATGAGTGATGGCTCATCCTCATCGTCTGAGAATTCTCTAGCATCCTCTTGAAGATGTTCTGATGGCTGTGATGTTCCACTAGGCTCATCCTCCTTGTCTGAGAGATCATGAGCATTCACCCTGAATTGATGTTGAGGAACAAAGATAAAATATAGGTTAGGGGATAGGATCTGGGCCCTGTAACATATGACTATATGACTGACAATCAATTGTAAAAATAGTAATAATAATAATAATAGTAGGTTCTTGTATATCGCTCCTGTCTGTCAGACTTGACACTCCTGGCGCTCCCGATTATTACCCTGGCTTTTAGTACGGCTGCCATTACGGCGCTCTGGCATATTAACTCTTAAGCTGCCACCCATACAATGAACCCAGTGCCACAGTGCTAATCTCCTGTGTGCCAAGTTAATTTTAAGGTTGGTTCAAGTGCGTGTTGATTAAATCTTTACAAAAAACAAATAGCTGAATTACTCGAGAAAATCCAATCTGACTGTTGTATTCAAAGACGCGTAATCCAAAGCCGATAATCTGATGCACGCGATGGTACTTTCAATAGCGCTGTAAAAGCACTCAGCACGGTGCAATGGGCATGAACAATGACTGTTATTACATTTGTTTGCTAGCGTGCACAAAGCAGTCGAGCGGTGGCTCGCTCGCGTGCACAGAGCTCTATAACAATAGCGCGCTAGCGGTCTCATGGCAGGATATGAGTTAAGGAATTAATCCCTGCCAGGTACCCATTTACATCACCTGGGTTGAGTGTGACAAATGTAGATCAATGTCTTGCCAAAGGACATTAGTGCCGCGACGGGACTCAAACCGCGGACCTTGTGATTGAAAGTCCGATGACATATCCACTCGACCTCTATGTAAAATCTGTTGTATCTTCAGTTTTGCTACAATTTATTGTATCTGAATAAGCATCTGTAACATGAAATTATTGGTATTAAAGTTGCTATCTATTATAATATCTCGATTGATGTACAATCAAGATTAGGGAGATACTATTTATCATAATTTTCAATGTTACAGGGCCCAGGTTTTCTGAAATTCAGTATGGTTACCGGTATGTAAATGTACAGTTAAGAGATAGATCTGCACCAGTACCAACATATAGTGTCTATTCCATGCAATTTCAAAAAATGATTAATAACATAATTTTTACTATTAAAAAATAAAAGACAACATACAGCACAGTTTTCAGAATACAGCTCCAGAATGCTATGGAATTGTATTTGGGTTATTTTGGACAATATACAAATATTATGAGCAGTATTACGCAGCAGCTAGCCACATTGCAATACCAGTAACTTTGGGTGGCCTTGCATTCATAGAGAAATGAGGAGAGGGGAAATGAAGCAAAAGTGCTTGAATAGAAAGTAATACATGAAAACTGATATAATGTGCTTGACAATATAAAAATGAGTTACTTTTAGGATCTATCCACACTCCAGTTGATGCTGTATGCATCTATAGTACACAGCCATTAGGCCGAATATGATATGTGCATAAACAACCTCAACAGGAGCGGGTACATCCTGTATGAACAAATGAAAATATCCATTATTTGTTTGATACAACAAAAATCCTAGATCCTTGTTATTTGATGTACAAAGACTTTATTTCAAGATGGCTTTTTTTAATTATCGCTGACAAATAAACCCCAACTAAAATAGGCTTGAATAAGATATACCGGTAGGTGCACTAACCTCCACAAGCATCAATATGCACAGTGCTTCACAAGTAATAATCTACACACATTATATCAAGCACATTTAACTCTACATGCTCTGCTGCATATTGTGTACTTAAATATTGTTAAATACTCAGTAGTACTAGAAACTACTGCATGCTTTTCATGGAAAAATATGTGTTATTCTCAGTAAATGAATCACACATGACTACGTTTCACCAATCATTTGATTAGGATCTAGGAGTGATTGAGTAATTCGAGTTGTACAATAAAATAAATCTGTAATTCATTGCTTAGTTCACTTACGATTGAAAGTCTGTGAGCGCCTTCAGAAATGAAACGAAATCCGCTTGGTAAACTTCATTGAACCTGAAATTTCCGTTGCTGATCTGAGGAAAAGAACCCTGAAAAGAATATAGATATATGAGCCAGATTGGTGATAGTAATTCATGTAATTTTCCTCCATTCCAGTCTTCCAGGCATACTTTACCATATATTGTACATGTTCATATCGGGGGATCAGTAACACAAAGACGTAACTCCATATTTTGCCCAAATGAGTATTTCATATCAAAATGTTCAGAAAAATGTGGGCTTTCCAAGACTTAACTCCACCCAACACCCGATTGAAGTCAATGACTCCTTAAGGCCCAAGTGCTCAGTGACACATAAACCACTTTTTCTCAAAAATGGCCAAAATGGAGTTACGTCTTTTGTGTCACCGAGACACTGACTCCTCGATATGTGGACGGTCAGTACACTCTCTGGGATATAGACTAAGTGTCCTTGTTACACTGACACTTCCAATATGTCCCCCAAACAAATACACACACATAAAAAACAGCTACCAGTATATTGAACTGGTCAATATTTCAAAAGCAATTCCTTTCTTGTTTTGGTCCAATTTTTTAGGAAATATTTTGCGGCGGCTTAGAAAAACAATATAGAAAAGTGGAATGATATTGAGCTGGTCAATATTTCAACTAAACTTTATGCTGACACCCCCTCACACCGACCGACCAACCAACCATCTAGCAAAGTCCAGTTTTCTGGCAATGTCTCTATGCAAAAGTTGTTGCCAGACGTGGAAGTGGTAGGGATGCTGGTTAAGATCTAACCGGGTGATGCGGTTAAACGTTGCTGAGGGTAGACCTAATCCATTTCATCTGGAACTGGTGCTCGTAGGGTGATGAGTCTCTGTCTCACTGCTTGTATGTTATTCTGAGATCTCGCTGTTTGTCGCCTTCCAAAGTTTCCTCAGTTCCTATTCAGACTGGTTCCATGTTGATGATATTTGCACACATTGGCCAAAATCGCTAGCTTCGAAGTAGACAAAAATAACCGTCTGGTATGGGTCATTCTTTAATAAAACTGACATTTGTCAACATTCCCCATTCACAGATGGTAACCCATAGGGCTCGCACAACGGGGGGAGATTGAGCTGATTTAGATCTAATTTTCTGATTTATAAATCAGATATTTTTCTCCTACTGTATGTACAGTTATCAAAGTTTGCAATACTTATTTCCAAATGCGAAATTTACGGACTTACTTTATACGAGTGATCCAATGTTTATTGAAACGGTTTGTTCGTGCATTCGACCTGGTAATTTATGACATGACCCGGCCGATATATTTCCGGGTCAACGTACCAAAACATAGCCAATGGCCAATCGGAGCACTCGTTTGATATTGGATTTATGAATATTCATATATCACTGGGTCAAGCCGAGCTGACTCATACGTAGCTCTTGGACATTCGAAAAGAAAAAATGAATATTCATCAACTCAAACCAAGATAATAATAATATTTAATTTTTATATAGCGCTTAATACCAATGTCTCTAAGATGGCCAACAACAAATTATGTTGACGACAAGTCTTTCTCGGATTAATCATTAATTTAGGATCTTAATGAGCAAGCTATTGTAGATCAAAGTAGATTATTTTTGTGTTATTTTTAATTTTTTGATAAGATTCAGTGAAATATTGCAGCCAAAGTGGTCTATGTATACACAAAGGAGCCAGATGTAATCTCAGCGGAACAAACGTAGATATCAGAGACTGAAGCTTTCTGTCTAGCTTCGAAGGAACTTCACGTTCTGGAAAACGAATCCTAAATTAATTTTGCACCGTCTGCAAACTCCCTGTCTCATGAGATTTTCTTACAATGAATACCCTCTGCCTGTTTGTTGATTGCACCATCATGGCTGCATGAGGTATGACTTATATAGCACATGAAATCAATGGTTTACTTACCTCATAGACACAAGAAATGCATCACAGGCTGATGAATACCAAAGCACGTCATCACAACGAAAGCATACTAAAATAACTTTTTGTTCACCTTGAATGACTCATTCAATAAGGGTTACCTTAATCAAGGATTGAGAAAATTGCATACCGTAATTAAAAAGGAAATTATCATATTTACCGGTTTTAGATTTATTTTTTAGAAATGAATCATAACGAAAGACATTTTTTTAAACATTTGCTACTGATCGACATGAACAAATTAATTTTATTTTGCAATCATTTTCAAACTCAATTTATTGCTCAATGGGTCCTCGACACACAAACTTTGCTTTAATAGAAACTTGGTACGAGGAGATTTTGACCATTTTGTTGTTAAAACCCTGGCATTCAGTCATCTTTGTTAGGAATTAAATAAACAGGGTATCATTGGATAGGATATGAGTTACTCTTTATCATGACATACATGTACATTGCATGACCACAAAGATTGTAACTTTTTATATGAAGCTACCAAAGTTGGTAAAACTTTTTTGATATGCACTGAGTACAAACACAAATACATACCTGTAAGGCCTTTGCATTCAGTGTAGCAAAGAACTCCTCCTGGAAATCCTTTCCACGTAGTTTCAGGTGAGTCAGGTTTGGCATGGAACACAAAGCTTCTGCTAGGTTAATTGAAGAGGCGGATGTTGGACACTGAACTTCCCATAGCTTAAGAGTTTGGACCTACATGTATACAAACAGTGATTCATACACGTACATTTAATACCAGAGTACATGTATTTCGTGAATGACTGCAAATATAACTGGGTGCTTAGGTATATATACATGTCTGTGTTTGGCCATGCTCAGGTGACAAATGCTCTCGGCTAATATTAGTCTAATATATAGGATTTGGAAATGGGCTGCAAATAGGTTTGAGCTTAGGTTTAGTGATAGGTATCCTCTTTGGTGCAGGGATAAAGTTAAGAATTAATAGTTTAGGATAGTAAGCACAAAAAATTGTTGACGGAACATTCGTAAAAAAATTGGAAGACTAAAAGTATGCATTAACCATGAATGTGTATGTAGAGTGAGTACATGGAGTTGTGCTCAAAATAAATACACTGTGATCTAGATCTCCATTCTTGTTTAGTGAGTATTGCACCTGAAGTATACTTTGATACTGCTTTCAGACCCATGATAACATGATTCCAACCTTAAAAATGCTCTGAACTTAAATATACAAAATTTACAAAACAACAAATATTTGTATCTACTAGTCTTTAGAGCATTTTAGTAATCCGTTTATAATGAAATTGTATTACTGTATTTAGTAGCAACACAACACTCTTTTTCCCCTCAAAATGCTTACTTGAAGACCTTCAGTTGGTCTTCATCACAAAAAGAAATACCTTTCCGGAGGTAAATCTTTAAAAGTGATTTTTGTTTTGTTTTTGCAGAGCATTATATTTTCAACTCAAGCTATATAAATTCAGTATCATACACTGCATATGAAAGACCCTCTATATAAATGAGGTTTCTTTGTCTGCTAAGACTTTTATATATTTTCATACAAAACATTACACACATTGAAAATATATTGACTACCGGTATTACTAAAATATCAGAACTCCTTATACTCATTTCCACTGCAACATGTGTACATGAATTCATCATGGCATGGCTATAGAGTACAAACACACACACATACATACCTGTAAGACCTTTGAATTCAGTGTAGCAAAGAACTCCTCCTGGAAATCCTTTCCATATAGTGTCAGGTCAGTCAGCTTTGGCATGGAACACAACGCTTCTGCTAGGTTAATTGAAGAGGCGGATGTTGGACACTGAACATCCCATAGCTCGAGAGTTTGGACCTACATGTATACAAACAGTGATTCATACAAGTACACTACCAGAGTACATGTTATTTCCTGAATGACTTCAAATATAACTGGGTGCTTAGGTAGACATGACTGTGTTTGGCTATGCTCAGGTGACAAATGCTCTGGGCTATATTTAGTCAAATGTATAGGATTTGGAAATGGGCTGCAAATAGGTTTGAGCTTAGGTTTAGTGATAGGTATCCTCTTTGGTGCAGGGATAAAGTTTAGAATTCGGTTAGTTCAGGATAGTAAGCACAGAAAATTGTTGACGGAGCATTTGTCAAAAAACAGGAGGACTGACAATTACAGCCAGAGTGCATCTAATTACTACATACGACATATAGTGATGGATTCAAGGAATATCTCCTACCAGGTAACCACTACTACACCTAGGTGGAGTGTGGCAAATGTAGATAAATGTCTTGCCTAGGAACACTAGTGCTATGTACGGCAGGGATTGAACCTTATACCTCTTGGTTCAATGTCCATGCAGAAAATTATCCACTGGACAACATATACCTCTACATGAACCATGGTGGATGCCCATTTAAAAAAAAAAGAGTATATTTATTCATATGATTGATTAAAATAAATAGAGTGGTATTTGTGTTTGGAGAATTAAACAATCAAAGTATAACTACCGCTTTGCGATTATTTAGACACATTTTTGACACTGCCTAAATGCTATATTTCATTTCATTTAAGCAGTGTGTAGAACAGGTGAATATGCATATTCACCTGTTCTACATAGTTTTACATAATAGCAGTGAAGGGATGTTCCTCAGCAATAATTGTTGAGGGTAGAATGAGGAACTGTATATTTTGTCCGCTTTCTTTGTCCGTCATGTTCATAGTGAGAGTGAGTACATGGAGTTATGCTCAACATAATACACTGCGATCTAGATATCCATTCTTGTTTAGTGAGTATTGAATCTGAATTATACTTTGATACTGCTTTCAGACCCATGATGACATGATTTCCAACCTTAAAAATGCTCTGAACTTAAAAATATAAAATTTTCAAAACAAAAAATATTTGTATCTCCTAGTCTTTAGAGCATTTTAGTAATCCGTTTATAATAATGAAATTGTATTACTGTATTTATTAGCAACACAACACTCTTTTTCTCCCCGAAATGCCTTCATGAAGACCTTCAGTTGGTCTTCATCAAAAAACGAAATACCTTTCCGGAGGTAAATCTTTAAAAGTGTTTTTTTTTTTTGCAGAGCATTATAAATTCAATATCATACACTGCATATGAAAGACCCTCTATATAAATGAGGTTTCTTTGTCTGCTAAGACTTTTATATATTTGCATACAAAAAATTACACACATTGAAAATATATTGACTACCGGTGTTACTAAAATATCAGAAATCCTCATTTCCACTGCAACATGTGTATATGAATTCATCATGGCATGGATATAGAGTACAAACACATGCACATACATACCTGTAAGGTTGACGCCTTTGCATTCAGTGTAGAATAGAACTCCTCCTTGAAATCCTTTCCACTCAGTGTCAGGTGAGTCAGGTTTGGCATGGAACACAAAGCTTCTACTAGGTTAATTGAAGAGGCTGATGTTTGACACTGAACATCGTGAAGCAAGACAGTTTGGACCTACACAAACCGTGATCCATACAAGTACATTACCAGAGTACATGTATTTTGTGAATGATTGCAAATATAACTGGGTGCTCCAATATACATGTATGTGTATGCATGTCTATGCTCAGGACTGGTGACAAATGCTCTTGGCTATATGTTGTCAAATGTATAGGATTTGGATATGGGTAGGAAATAAGTTTGAGCTTAGATTTAGTGATAGGTATACTTTTTGGTGCAGGGATAAAGTTAAGAATTTGGTTAGTTCAGGGTAGTAAGCACGAAAATTTGTTGATGGAACATGTGTAAAAAACAGGAGGACTGACAATTACAGCCAGGGTGCATTTAATGAGACTACATACTACACATACTACGTGTACAACGTATAAATATTCACAATTGAATGACACATGCCCTTAAAACTAAAACAACAACAACAACAACTTACTAAACAACATTAGTGCTATATACTGCAGGGATTTGAACCCCATGCCTGGTGGTTATAACTGTACAGAGATTTATCCACTGGACCACTTACGCCTTTACGTGAACCTTGGTTGATGTTCATCATTTGAGATTGTATATATTAAAGGGATCCGGTAACTTTGTCTCAGATTCTGAAAACATATTCTGGATTTAGCTCATGATGCAATGATAATTATAAACCTTTAGGTCAGTCAGGAACCCCGTGACTTTTACAAGCCGATCGCCTGTCTGATTATCAAGATATTTATGATTGGAATTACAAATTTTGAAAACCGTTCGCCTGACGGTTTTCATAACACTACAGTCTATTGGGGAAAACGAGTATGGTAAAACCGGTCACTCAAAGATTTTTACTTTTTTGAGGCACTTCTTGATCATTTTGAAGCGCAATTTTTTTAGGGCTTCAATATTACATCATATCACAGACACTGATAACACGTAGGGCCGTGTATCTCAGATTTAACATTGTTAAACGATCCCTTTAACTCATATGACTGGTTATTTTTAATTGAGATGCATTTGGGTTCGGAGAATCTAGTAAATAATGAAAGAACTACCGCCTTGTCGACTATTTAGAAGCATCAGTGAGATTGCATAAATTTTATACATTCACGACTGAAAGTATTCATTACACATGGATCTACATGCAGAGTCTGTACATGGAGCTACATGTGCTTAAAAGTACACTGAAATCTAGATTTAGAAATGAGATATTAATTCAATAATAAGAGTAATGATAACAACAATAATAACCACACTAATAATAAGAACAAGAACAACAATAATGTCATTAGTTAAAATACGTATTGGTAAGTACCCGTAAATCTCCGTGTATAAGGCGCACCTGTGTATAAGGCGCACCCCTATTTTTAAGACTTAAAAAAAAAAAAAGTCGGGAAGAAAAAAAATCAGGAAATTCTTTTGCCTTTATTTGTTTTTTTTGTTGCTTTTTGTTAAAACCAGATCAGATCCCGTCTTATTTCAGAGTTCGGAAATACTTTCATTTTATTACGAGGCACAGTTGAAGTGCTTGTGAACTAAGTTAGACCTTTGCACAACAACAACAACAAAATCCAGCAGTCAAAACAGCACGTCCATTTGAACATATGGAACTACAATGACTATACAATGGTACAAGACATTTCTAGAATAACTCCACACAACTTACCGACAATTTTATGTTGCATTGTTGATATGAAGACGAAAATAAACTGCATAACTTATTTTTCTAATAAAATCTGCCGGTAGATTTAGATCTAAATCCGTACCATATTGCCAAAAAGTAAAAGAATTAAGGGACGTGAAAGATCGTTTCTTACGAAGCTAGCTGCCGCGCAACGTAACTGCGCAGGTTAAAATCGCTATTCCATTACACCGCACATCGTGGTAGGATACCAAATCTGCCCCCGTGTAAGTGAGCTGCATGATACAGGTGAGTGAGCTGAAGACACGGGAGAGCTTCGGCCGGCAAAGTGCTTTGTGAAGGGCATAATTTATCGAGACTGAAAAAAAAAAATATCAAAATCTCTTCCCTTTAAATTAGGAACGTAGTTTTACTTCATATAGTAGATTCTATTCTTTGTTTTCATTATGAAATTCATGTTGAGACACAGAGATTTTTGAAAACCAATAAAAAGTTGCATTTTGAGGACTTAAAATATTCTGTACCTGTGTATCCCTTACAAAAATGTCCTGTGGTAATTCCTGTGGTACCTCATTTTACCACACAAAATACCACAGGAATATTATGTACCACAGCAACTCGTGTGGTAATGTCACTAGACTCCTGTGGTAATGTCAACGGCTGGCTGTAGTAACTTTGTATTTCCTGTGGTACTTGATGTTACCACACAAAATACCACAGGAATATTTAGTACCACAGCAACTGATGTGGTAATGTCACTAGACTCCTGTGGTAATGTCAACGGCTGGCTGTGGTAACTTTGTATTTCCTGTGGTACTTGGTGTTACCACACAAAATACCACAGGAATATTATGTACCACAGCAACTCGTGTGGTAATGTCACTAGACTCCTGTGGTAATGTCAACGGCTGGCTGTGGTAACTTTGTATTTCCTGTGGTACTTGATGTTACCACACAAAATACCACAGGAATATTTAGTACCACAGCAACTCGTGTGGTAATGTCACTAGACTCCTGTGGTAATAATGTCAACGGCTGGCTGTGGTAACTTTGTATTTCCTGTGGTACTTGATGTTACCACACAAAATACCACAGGAATATTTAGTACCACAGCAACTCGTGTGGTAATGTCACTAGACTCCTGTGGTAATGTCAACGACTGGCTGTGGTAACTTTGTATTTCCTGTGGTACCTGATGTTACCACACAAAATACCATATGAATATTTAGTACCACAGGAACTCTTGAAATATTAACTCGACTCATGTGGTATAATGTCAAAGGCTGCATGCATGGCTGTGGTAACTTTGTATTTCCTATAGTACCTGATGTTACCACACGAAATACCACATGAATATTTAGTACCACAGCAACTCGTGTGGTAATGTCACTAGACTCCTGTGGTAATGTCAACGGCTGGCTGTGGTAACTTTGTATTTCCTGTGGTACCTGATGTTACCACACGAAATACCACAGGAATATTTAGTACCACAGGAACTCTTGAAATATTAACTCGACTCCTGTGGTATAATGTCAAAGGCTGCATGGCTGTGGTAACTTTGTATTTCCTGTGGTACCTGATGTTACCACACAAAATACCACAGGAATATTTAGTACCACAGCAATTCGTGTGGTAATGTCACTAGACTCCTGTGGTAATGTCAACGGCTGGCTGTGGTAACTTTGTATTTCCTGTGGTACCTGATGTTACCACACAAAATACCACAGGAATATTATGTACCACAGCAATTCGTGTGGTAATGTCACTGGACTCCTTTGGTAATGTCAACGGCTGGCTGTGGTAACTTTTATTTCCTGTGGTACCTGATGTTACCACACAAAATACCACAGGAATATTATGTACCACAGCGACTCGTGTGGTAATGTCACTAGACTCCTGTGGTATAATGTCAAAAGCTGGCTGTGGTAACTTTGTATTTTCTGTGGTACCTGATGTTACCACACAAAATAGAGAGCGAGATCTTTATTTTCAATTTCAATTCCCAACGGCGCATTTCCACCATTACTTTGCCATTTCGCCAGATTTGTCTTCCTTTAAAACCCAGAGTATGGAGGGAAAAGGTTAGATTTACACCAGGAAAGACGAACTTTAAGTGTATTCCAGAGCAAGAATTTAACAAAATGGGGCAGGATCGCAGAGTTTACCATACCAGCCCAAGTTTAATACATGACTCAGACTGTGTGTGGGGAAATACAAATAGTCGGTCTGCGGAAAACGATTAACTTTGCTGCTCTGGACTGCTAGCTGCTGGAGCTACTTTAAAGATCATCATTTTGTCCAGGAGGTGAGTAATAAAATTAAACATAATTCAATACAGAATTGTGTTTGCTTTTTGTACAAAATAGGAAATTTGGTTAGTAAATCTTACTCTTATAAATTTGGTTCATGAAAAAATGAAAACCGATCGCGTTTGATGAAGGTCGTAGATGGCGTACTGTACTGCATCTATGACGGTAGGCCTACAGTACATAATTATAGTCACCTATATTCTGTGTACCTACATGTACATGTAAGGCTTTTCATTGGAAGTGAAATATCAAACATGAATCTTAATTAGTACAAAATGCGTCCTAAAAAATGAGGATTGTCCGCGAAAATTTTGCGGAAGTTTTTTTTTTTCTTCTGCGGGTTTTGGGTTCCCGATCCGTCTACTTTCATGGGTTGTCCGTCTTCCCTAGGATTTATCGCTCAAAACGTAAAAGTCTCTGTAGACAACAAAGTAAATGTAAAATTATTGCGGAACCCGTTTTTTCGCATCGCCAACGTGCGGATCGGAAATCAGAATCTTCAGCGAAAATGCGGATGATCCTTATTTTTGCGTGCATGTCACGTCATGAGTTTGTGAGGGATGCAAGTAATTGTAGTTTTTAGATGAATTTCATTTGTACAGTGTATGCCATGTTCAACTCTTAATTTTCGCTAGATTTATTTTGAGAGCATAATAGAATACTACAACGTACTTAACTTTGTATTTGTATTTTTTTATTTTTCAGGGTATCTTCGGCTGCTGGATAGTCATCAAAGTGGACTGTGTCGCACTGGTATGCTTGTCTTCTGGTGTACATGCAGACATGCAGTCTTAATTTGTAAGACTGAACTGTCCAAAACACATCAAGAAAATGCAAGACATGAGTGAGAGTGTGAGACCCATACTGGGTAAATGTTCATCGGTATGGGATTCCTATATTAAATGGAAAGCATTTCAAAATGATGTAAATTATGGCGACCAACAAACATTCAGCAAGTACTTCCAGGTCGCCACGCCCTGTCATAATCACCTTGCGTTCGGTCAGAATGAATCTGAGAAATAAATCTTCAATACACATCTTTGTACCAAGGCAATTATCTCGACGAACATAAATTGAATTAACTTACAGCGTCATAAAATATTTACATACATGTATATATCCAATATCTGTGTGTGAATATATCTTCATAACTTTATTTCTCTACACTTTTGGCCATGACAGCTCATTGCTGGTATAGTTGATGCCAGTATTGTGTAACACTTTATAGATGTGTATTCATGTATCTATAGCTTTTTTTTAGTATTCATTTAAATGCATCTGAAGACTATTCATGTTTGACAATTGACATCTTTTGACACTTGACAGATAGACCTAGCTGCAAGTGCTATTAATTAACACTTTTAACATTGTTATGGATGTAAACTTATTTATGTACTGTATACCTTTAATTGCCTTCACATGTATTCATTCATATACATTTTTTAAGAATTAATTTTTGGACTGTTTATGTTCGTCATGATATCTCATTGAAACTTGCCAGATAGCCTTGCTACTGGTGTGTAACATTTTTATAGTTAATATATATACATGTACATGTGTATCCATGGACTTGTACACATATCCACGTAAAGGTAGTGAATCCTTTTTGCTGCCAACATCAATTTCTGTCGAATTTTGCAGGAATTTTAAATACATCACGTATGTCCTATCTGTGAAATTTAAACG